GTCTAACTTAATTGAGACAGCAGCGAAACATAATAGCTAATTAAATACTTTTTATCTATACCGCAAATCAGAACCAGTCAGACGATATGGACTTCACGGCTATATACAGTATTTATACACCTAAAATGGTAAAGTAAACACTCAAAAAAAAGTTGCCAGTATTCAGTGATATAGCTATATCAGTATTGTTTCAAAAACTTTTTGGAGTTTCGTAAATCGTTACTTCATTACAAGCAATACTCAAAACATGGCGTGGACATTTACTCATGCATTCAGCGGTAATTTAGCAAGCAAAACAACATGAAAGATTATATTATTAACGATCATATTTTAATTGACCTTTGCACGCGACCATGAAGCTTTTAATCTTTTACACAGCTACTTCACTTATCAGGCAGATATCGCGGAGCAATATGGCGTCGCGTTCGCCTAAAAATAACTTAAAGGCTTGAAGGCTAGATCCAAATAGCAAATAGTCAAATACCCAGTCTAATTATTAGCACAAATCCTCAATTGTTCTTCGCATTCCTTTAACAATGAACGTTCAACTGTTCAGACTTAATTTGATTTGGCGAAAAAAAAAACTATCCGTTTATATCCCTACGATTTACCTTCGACGCCCGACCTTTTACACATGACATAAAGTGGCACTCTTCAACCGTTCAAGTCATGCACAAACAATATTGTACCTCGTTTAGCCTTATCGAAGTGCGATTTTCGAATGGGATAGAAAAGTTTGTGATTGATTCCTGACATCTGGTGTAAGCTCATATTAGTCGTGGAAAACGGCAGGGATGAATGGCTGTTGCTGCCGTGAATTTTGTACTTGCGAGATTGCATGGGCAATTTTGCTGAAATGATTCGTTCACGGTTCAACTCCTCAAATATGTTCGTACCCCAGTGGAAGCTGTTGTGCTTGTGAATGTGAATGTGAATGTGAAGCACATTTGAGCACGTGGCCCAGTTCTACCCGATTAATTTATTTGCAACGCGTCTAAACTTACAAGAATCTGTGAACTCATTTGACCTAAGGTAGCTCTGTAAAAATACTTTACTGACACAGTTCTCGAGACTTAGTGTGTGTAGTTTGGCCATTGCGAATCTACTGTAGACGATTGGCGAGAATGAGGTTGCAAAAAGGACTATTTTGGGGACGTGAACAGAAATATCATTTCCAAAGCAACCCAAAGAAGCATTGTAGATTGTAAGTAAATTATTACCAGTCCTCTAGCGTTACTCCTGAGTATATATTGGCTAATTACAAATCTTAAAAGTTAAAACTGAAATATTTAACGATACGTCAAATTGTTTGAGTACTGCCATGTGATTTAGGCCAAGACGACGATTATGATGGATTGACGCGTATAGCACCATTGAAAGAAGTGTAATAGAGTAATCCAGAAATAAAGTAATCCAGATAATTAAGCCTAGTTTAATTATACACATCGATTATATTCACACCAAACTACACACATCGATTATATAATCATAATTCCGATCCTCGATGGCGATTTTCTGTTATCAGATTTCCGCTTGATCCATATATATATCGTATCTATTGCAAACCCCAGTTTTAATGTTAGTTCAGTTACGACGTGAAGGCATGCAGTTGAGGGTCAATTTCGAGCGCTGCAGGGAACTGAAACACAACCTTTTTTGTGAAATTCGTGGCATTCACCCATGTCAGAAATGTTGTATCCCATGCATACACGAGCTATAAATGAATGTTTCAACTTTATCTTCCCGGCCTGATTCATTAACAGATTACGACTGAGGTTTACAATTTTATCACTAAAACAACATTCAATCTTTCCTTTTGCCGCGGAAAGAGTTCATTAGAGGTCGTCGTTTTAAATTGTTATCAAAGTAAGGCAGTATTATTAACAGGTCGCAACCTTGTTTTTCTCATGCAACCTGTTTCGTAATGTTGTTGCAGCGCAGGTTGAAGGAGGGAGGGTGGGCCTCGTGCACGAGGTGCCACTATGGATGCCGCCGAGCGGGAAAATTTGTAAGATTTATTTTCTCTAAACAGCTGAGAAATGGACGTTTCAGAGCACATGAAGATATAGCTTTTCAACCACAAGGCTGGACTCGCCTTGTATTGCCGGCTCGGACATTTCAGACGTTCGCTTTATTATTCACACCGAATACCGATCCGAAAGCGGAATGTTAATTGTTTTTGCAAACGATTATGAATCTCAGTCCAAGGTCAAACCACCAGACGACTGAAAATGGAAAGAATTTTTCATATCTTAGGGGAATGAGGATGTTTTGTCAGAATGCATGAGTAGAATATTTCAATTCGCCCAAAAATAGGACAGATGTTTGATGGTTATATTGAAACCAGGTTGATCTATACCTAGCGCTTAATTTAGGGGGAGAGAAGCTTTGTTTCCTCTCATTTCACATAGGACTAATTATATCCAGTAATCTGTTCCTGACATTTTTCAGTGTTTTGGAGTGTCGGTAGCGTAACAAGCCTGACAATTTAGTCTTGCCATGCAAATTTAAGGTTATTATATACAGTAGCGTAGCCAGCCTGACAATTTGTCCCGCTATGCTAATATTTTGGTGTTTATTGACTGTGAAAACAATAGATTTCTAAAGAAATGAAAATTCTAATAACACGAAATTTACATAGCGGGACAAAAAGGTCAGGTTGGTTTGCCACTGATTATATAATAGGTTTCAGCTGTCTATGAACACTATATCCGCATAACAGGATTAAATTACAGGCTAGCTACGCTACTGATCTTAGTTTTATTTATTCTGCTTATACATGTCTGACATGACTCAGAATTTTAAACTTTAAAACGTATTCAAAAATTCAGAACAAAGTCCCAGAAGAAGCATGATTATAGTGCCACAAGCCTTGAAATTCCATTTGACTGAATATCGACGTATGCAAATTGTAGTGTTTGTGTGCATTACCCTCCATGAAATACTTCAGCAAATTTTTATACTCAGTAATCAGTGAATAATCATTCGACTTCAGTCAACCGTTCACTGAACCTACGGGCTCCAAAATCAAGTCAGATTGAAATAAATAACCTGTCAGGGATAGAATTAACAATGGATTAGGGCGTTTTCCTTCAATCGAATCAAAATTTTGGAAAACTCAAGGCCCTGAGGACGCTGTTTCAGAACTCTCAACTGCAACCATCTTAATCAAATTGCTCAAATTCGAAAAAAATAAATCCGCTTCACGCGAAAAATATCACTAGTGTAAAACCATAGGCGGCCCAGAACTGATCTCACTGACCTCGCGCTACGCTCATGTTGTCTGAACAGTCTTATATTATGACAAGGTTGGCAACTCTCACGCCAAATAAGCTAAAAACGCACGACGGTTGACCCAAACACCTTTACAAAACCGGAAATATTTCATAAAAATATGGCAAATAAGAAAAAAAAAGTACAACACATTAAACTTGAATAATTTTACTACATTTATACTATATTTTTAGCATTCAAATGTATTCCTATGCATGTATAAAACGTGAATGTTTTTATGGTTTCTGGCAAATATATTTCAAAACCTATGCTGGGGACACCTTGCCTATACCTTTGTCATATTTTTAAATTGAGAATAGAAAGCTTATTGGCTCTTTTTAAACGACAGCCAATCAGCTTTCTATTCTCAATTTAAAAATATGACGAAGGTATAGGCAAGGTGTCCCCAGCATAGGTTTTGAAATATATTTGCCAGAAACCATAAAAACATTCACGTTTTATACATGCATAGGAATACATTTGAATGCTAAAAATATAGTATAAATGTAGTAAAATTATTCAAGTTTAATGTGTTGTACTTTTTTTTTCTTACTCGCCATATTTTTATGAAATATTTGCGGTTTTGTAAAGGTGTTTGGGTCAACCGTCGTGCGTTTTTAGCTTATTTGGCGTGAGAGTTGCCAACCTTGTAATAATATAAGACTGTTCAGACAACATGAGCGTAGCGCGAGGTCAGTGAGATCAGTTGTGGGCCGCCTATGGTAAAACCGGCTTTATACACTATGCAAATTTCCTTGCAAACATTGCAACGTATAATTTTGAGGGATGTTCATTTGTAAAGAGTGTTCGCATTGCTAAAGCCTAAAGGCCTATTTTGACTACACGCTAAGTTGTGTGCAATTATCATTCTGACGAATGCAAAAGAGGGCCTGTATGCAACAATCTTTATTCATATTGCCGTGTTCAAGGCGGAATTTGAAACTACTTTGAAATATACTCATACTTTCACATACGCCAGGGTACGAATCGTATACGACAGATCGCATAGTGTAAATGGGCCTTAAGAAAACGTTAGAAGATCCTAAGAAATGTTCAACTGTGACAACTTTAGATGCCTTAGGAGTAGAATTGCGTTGCACGTTGCAAGGAAAGTTGCATAGTTAAACCCCGGCTTAAGGGTGAATATCGGATTTCAACTTGCAGAGAATGAATTCGCTATAAATCGTACTGATTATATTTCCTTTTGACAGAAAAATAAATTAGTTCAGCTTGACTGTTCTCAATTATTCAAAAGAAAATATGCAAATATTTCGCTTGCAAACTACTGTATTTCTCTGCAAGTGAATATCCAGCCTGATTGACAACGCATGGATTTCTGCAGTCGAAAAATCTCGCCTAGATATCAAGCTACCGGATATTGGATTTCTCACTGAACTTTAGAGCATCTTAAAATGAAGTCTACACAAAAAGATAACAGAAATGAAAAGTATACAACAAAGTGCAGTAGTGATCAAGATTATAACATCGGTGTTCACCAGAATTATTCCAGATGTAGTGATGTACGTAAATCGTGTCGCACACTTATGAGGTGCCAAACATGACAATATTATACTGCTAAAATATTTACGGCTACTCAAACAACGTTATATTAAAACACCATTATTTATAGCTAAAAATATATTTACGGCTATCAAAAATATATGTACGGCTATCAAAAATATATTTACGGCTATCAAAAATATATTTACGGCTATCAAAAAAATATTTACGGCTATTATTGAGCCAGCTTTTTGGCTCAGCGGATTACCTGTCAATCAATTTCAACTTTCAAGTACTATATCTTCTTTAAAAAATGGCGGATGGTATAGTGGATTTATACAAGATATTTCGTGAGGATATTCCTTCAATTTTTAACCAGGCTTTGCGGAATCTTTATTGCAATGATGTCAATGTTTTAGAATATTTTGAAAGACGACTAGATGATCACATCCATGTTATTAAAGCCGTCATCGATCAATGTTCACAAACGAGAGCCAACGAAGAGTTGGTTGAGCTTTTGCTAAGTGTTCATCATGAAGTGAATTGTTTACATGAAAATATACAGCAGCTTTGTTTTCAGCATAGAGATTACCACTCGGAACTAGGGTTTGTGTGCCCTGTCGAACGATCTGAACATGCCGGAAGACCAAGATTTCAAGTGCCCCAAAGAGTGATTTCTGGTTTGTATGACATTCATCGATCGTGGGTAGAGGTTGCAAGGGAGGCAGGCGTTTCTTACCGAACAATTTTACGAAGACGTCACCAGTATCAGCTGCCTGTGGCTGAAACTCGGGGTCCAAGAAACTCTTTCTCTGAAATTTCTCAGGAACATTTGTGTGGCCATGTTAGACAAGTCTTACAATTACTACCTCATGCTGGCGAAACCTACATGATAGGGGCTTTAAGAAGCCGAGGAATTTTTGTGCAAAGAAGGCGAATTAGAGAAGCTATCTACACTGTTGATCCAGTTAGTCGGGCATTGAGGCGCCAACAAGCTGTGACCAGGAGAACCTACAATGTTCCTTGTCCAAATGCCCTATGGTATGTTTTTTCTCCACCACCATTGAGTTTGAAGGAAGGATTTTAACTTGCTGATTACACTCTGATGATAATTTGAGCTCACAGTGGAAAATGCAATAAGCTAATTGAACTTCAATCACACAATAAATACCAATTTTCGTTAACTTTGCTATTCTTATTTAGGCATGTTGACGGCCATCATAAACTTATTCGCTGGAGATTGGTCATACATGGAGGAATCGATGGATTTAGCCGCTGCATAGTTTATTTATGTTGCAATACCAATAATAGGGCAGACACAGTGGCATCATTGTTTGTAAATGCTGTTGAACATTTTGGCTTACCATCTCGTGTTAGGTCAGACATGGGCACTGAGAATGTGGATATAGCAAGGTACATGTTGCATCACCCTGATAGAGGGCCTAACCGAGGGAGTATGATCACAGGAAAGAGTGTTCACAACCAGAGGATTGAGCGCCTCTGGTTGGATGTGAAAATGAATGTGGTTACTTACTATCGTAACATATTTTACTACCTTGAACAATGCAACTACTTAAACCCGACAGTGAACACGACTTGTTCATGTTGCATTATGTGTTCTTGCCACGGATAAACCGGTCTCTGCGCGAATTAGTAAATGTCTGGAATAATCATCCTTTGAGCACTGCCGGAAATCGTTCTCCACTACAGTTATGGCACTCTGGAATCAATGCAGTTACCAACTCTGATTATCGTGCTGTTGATAGTATCTTTGCAGCCCAGGAGGACTGGAATGATTATGGGATTGGTGGTGGACCCCCAGTTGGTGGTGACACTGATAATTATGTGGAAGTTCCAGAGGTCAACTTTGAACCCACCCAAGAACATTTCAAGAACTGCAGACCGTGTTATTCCATTGTCTGATGATGGTAACCATGGTATAAACCTATATTTGGCTGCTATCCTCATAGGTGAGCCCAGAAGTTAAGACTGGAAACTGCAATAAGACTTCAATAAGACTTAGCAGATTCAGTTATACATGCAAGTATTTTCAAAGTGTTCGGTTTTTAGAAATTAGCCTTTCCAAATTTTCCACTATACTTTATCGCTGAACTGAAATTTCAACTCTGAAATTGCCTGATTATCAACCCCTAAGCTAAGCCTAGTCAGGTAAATTTTTATGATCAAAGATGAAAATGTGACACTCATTGTTTGTATATTATCCCTCTTGGGCTTCCCCAAGAAGCAGTGTAGACATTTTAGATTTACTTTAATGCCTCATATATTCCTGTCATTACACTCTTAGTAATTGTCTTAATTGTTTAATACTTTATGCAGCAATTAAAAGTCAACATTCTTTTTGTTTGCAATATAAATATCACACAAAAAAACAATTAGCATCCAAATTACTGCCAGTGCTGCTGATCACAATTTCTAAAACCCAAACAAACATCAACTTCCAGTAAATTTTTATGTAACACATCAAAACTTGATATGCAAAATAAATTTTAAAGCAACCCCATAAACATCAACAACATCCAAACTATTTGATTACATTTTCCCAAAACCTACTTTTGCAAATGACACTGCCTTGTCAATAAATTTTTTAAAACTTTCGTAGCTGGAATGAACCACTGGGATTGATAAGACCATAGGGCAAGTATTTGCTTCAGGTAACAATTTGGTGGTACAATCTGGTTGGTAGGCCACTGTTAACTTTTGTGAAGCTGCCGATGGTAATGCAGGGGAACTTGTCCAGAATTGCACCAAATCGCTTAGAGTCTCCTGGTCACTGGCTCTTTCTACATACAAATTTAAGCATATTATAAATAGTATAGCATTTTAGGCTCAAGAAATGAAAATAATTTTAAACAGGAAATTTTAGTCAACTGGCTAAATTCAACTCACCAAATCTACTAATGCATGTTGGACTACTTACAACGAAACTCTCACCTTTTTCATCCAGTTCATCAATGTATTGCTCAAACCACATCCGTGCCTGAACACATTTCTCATCAGTTGGATCACAGAACTGTAAATGCATTTTGAGCTCATGGGCAGATACATCATTTGAATATGTAGGAAAAACCCGTCTCTGTAATTCTGGGTATCTTTCTAGAAGACACAGCAGATTTGTGCCTGCCACATTAATTTCTCTAAGCCCCTTTCTGATATCATCCAATGCAGGTACTCTCTTTGTTATGACCTCGTGAGTCAGGCAACATTCATAAGCCAAATGTCTTTGCTGTTCATTCACTTCCAAGTGCATAGCCAGCTGCTTGAAGTTCTTCATTTATACAAACTGGGGAGTCTGGAAGGGTGAACTCTGCCAATTTGCTACTGTTACAAGACAAGAGCTAAAAGAGATCGTCAGAAATGTAAGACAACAGAATATTTCAATATATGATGGGAATATGTCGGGGAGAATGGGTTGTTGGAGGTGGTGTCAACTCTAACAATAATTAGCAACTACATAAGTAGTAGCCTAATTATACAAACCTCTTCAAAGTTATTTTTCACAACAGGATCTGGAAAATCCTCGAGTGTGAGGTATTGAACAGCAGCATCACGTCTACCTGTACAAAGGTATGCAATAACCGCAGGAGATAAACCTGCAACACCACAGCAACCATTCAATACTGAATGAAGTATCATCTTTCCCAATAAAAAAAATACACCCCCTGACAGCAGATCATAGTCATGTCGGGGCAATAAATGTCCTTGCAAGCCTTCAAATAGATTTAAACCATCGGAGTGGTACTTAGCCAGTCTCTTCATCAACAGGGAGAATAACTCTCTAGTAGGCCCTCCACTATCTACTCCAAATTGATCTTGAAACTCGACATTGAGAGGTTTTCTTATGTCGAATGCTGGATTCTTGTACTTTCTGATCATTTGAGTAAGAATGTCAGTGTCTCTTTTCACATGCACATCCATATCCACATGGAATGTTTGTAAACCTTCTTCCACAAACTTTTGCAGTGCTGTTTTTGCAAAATTTTCTTCTAATGGTGTATCCCACGCACATTTTTCCAAGAAATCGTCACTGGAACTTTCTCCATCATCAGCTGGGTAAAAAAGCAATTAGCAAATATCTCTTAGAGTGGAATGAGAGGGTTTCAGTTACACAATTGTATAGCATTATGGTGGAATTTCAAACAGAAGCACAGCTGTTATCAAAGTCAGTTTTATTTTGTATTTGGTGGAAAATATATAGAAGTGAACAAAATTTGCTTTCCCCCAGAAGGCATAAAATGTGTCAATATGTGAAATTGGATGTTAATTCCCTGTGCTGCAATGAGAAATCTGCTTCTGATAAACACCAAACCTGTATCATTATCTCGAAGGAGAATGTTAACAACTTTCTGAATATCTCCATTATTTTTGTGCAGAGCTTGTGTAATGCTCTCAGTGCTAATAGTTGGAAACATTTCCTTCAAAGAATTCACTTCCACAACAGAAGACACTGGGATACATTCACCATGTTGTTGATTCGCAAGTGTAGGAGCAGGTGGCATCAGTGGTTCAAGTGAATCTGCTTGGTGTTGTGTCCTTATTGTATCTGAAGATGTCCCTTCAGATTCTTCAGTGTACTTTCGTATGTCACTAAAATAAAAAGAACTTTCGAAAAATTCACCATCTTGATTGGCCCTATATTCATCGTAATGTGCATGTCAAATAAATATGTTGTATTTTCAAATGTGCCTAAAGCTCAAATTGATATATATAATAAGGCGTCGTGAACAAAGTGTGAGTTACCCAGTCCCTGTTTCAAGTGTTATAACAGTTAAACAACTTAGGATTACTAAGGATTATGTTAACTAAAAACTAATTAAGTAAAAAAAAGGTAATTATTTTTGCAAAATGAAAACAAATACACTTACCCTAATTTATAATCATGATAAATTGGTTCATCAACTTCAGTCACCTCGGTTTCTTCCTTTTGTAGATACATGACAACAAAATAAAAAGGCCTTTTTGTCACATACAATTTCAGTTTTGCCTCTACTTTTTCAGTTCTGCATTGCATACACTATAATTATAGCAATTTTTACCCTATCACACCAAACAAGTTTGGCTATCAATGATAAGTTACATAATAGTTACACATTGTAGTCATCTTTGATAAGCATTTTATATTCCTATTAGTCACCCATACTCAGAAATAATTGCATAAAACAAACTTAAAAATAATTTAATCTTAGTAGCTGGGAATAAGTACAATACCTCATCATCATCATCATCATCATCATCATAAGTTGTTAAAGGCACACATGGAAGCAACCAAATGGTTCTTTGAGTAAATATTCTGTTAAGCATTTCACCAGTCAAAGTTTGGTCTGATGTTAACTGTGGTTCAACTAATTCATTTCCTATGCCCATCATTATCTTGAACCTGGAAGAATCCTCTTAATTAGTGTGTTTAGCAATTAATTTCGACTTGAACTGCACTTTCAGATGGTATTTTTTATGTTTGCATGCCATAAAAATTAAAAACAATCACTCTTGAGAGAAGGCCTGTTTTATATCTTGATTTTTTTGCACAACTCAAACTTTACCTTGCACACCCATGCAAACCTCAAAAAATACCCTACCTATTTGGGTGGCCTGACTGGTTTTAATAGTGCATTAGTTGTCAATTTTCTCATGTCCGGAGCTAGCAATGTTTAATATATATTTCCCAGACAAAGACAGACATGAAGTAGTTCACATAGTCATTACTCATGTACGCATAATATTTAAATTTCAAATGAATTTGCAGATTTGCAACTAAAGCTTAAATTTTGAAAGCTACTTACTTCGACTTATTATCCACGTTTATATCGATGCAATTCAAATGCCTCTCGAAAGCCTCTTCTAGTTTCTTAACCACTTCATCCGCAGTCCATAACTTATCAAATTCAAAGGCGTTCAAAACATGTCCCAGGCGTTGAAGCTCTGCTTTAGCCGCACCTCGAACCATCGAATCGCATGGGCGACGAAGAAGCACAACTTCGCGGGTAAATGTTGTTTTCTTACCCGTGTTCTTCACGTTCTTACCCTTGCTGTTGCTGCTGTATGGCTTTTCCCTACTTCGAGATCGGGACGAGGGCGAGGGGCCCCAATTCGTTCTTCGCTGGAAGTGAGGAAGGTCAGGGCTTTGCTGAAAGGAGGACCCGGCTCTGCGAAACAACGATTGGAATTCTTCACGCGGCGTGCGTCTGCTGCCATTTTCGCTATTCTGATTATCAACAGACACGCGAGGTATAACTTCCAATGGAGCAGGATTAGATTCGCTTCTATTTACATGAGGGCTTGTTTCACTGCTTGTTGAACTAATACTGTTTACGGCGTCTTGAAAACTGGGATGGTTTACAACTTGTCGCACTAAATTTTCTAAATTGTCAGATCGACCCGCCATGTTTTTAAATTAGATTTACAGATTTCCCCTTTGCACATGGATCAAATGGATTTATTGATTGATTGACAGATTGAAATTGATTGACAGGTAATCCGCTGAGCCAAAAAGCTGGCTCAATAATAGCCGTAAATATTTTTTTGATAGCCGTAAATATTTTTTTGATAGCCGTAAATATATTTTTGATAGCCGTAAATATATTTTTGATTGCTGTAAATATATTTTTGATAGCCGTAAATATATTTTTAGCTATAAATAATGGTGTTTTAATATAACGCTGTTTGAGTAGCCGTAAATATTTTAGCAGTGTAATATTGTCATGTTTGGCACCTCATACACACTGCATATCGCCGGTTGTAATCTACAATTAGAATCTACCCACCTTTTACAGGAAAATTTCTGCTTAAGACCCACCGTCGAGACTGTTAGAAGTTAGTTAGTTCGTCCGTTAAAAATTTCTCCTTTTTCAGATGAAATAATGGTATCTACCCTCGCATGTGGTTTCATGTTGCTGCTGCTCAAGGAAGCATGGATTTTATGCTTTTGCTCATGCGCAGAACTATGCACGATCCGGGACCGCTGAGCCGGGGGTACTAGGGAACTTAGGCCCCCCCCTCCAATATTTTGCAGATCGAACGTTTGAGTGACTATGGCAAACATGGCGGCAGTGGACTTATGCATTTATTTTCTATGAGCCCCCTCGATATAAAAGTACTCCGCGGTCGCTGAAGATTAATACTTGCAAGAAATTTCGCGTGACCGGTTGACAGCTTTTTCAACATGATACAAAAAAAAGTATCAAGGGCGGGGGGTGACACAATTGCAGCTCTTTCCTCAATTTCCCACTTTTCCCAATGGGAGCTGTTTTTTCACCGATATGTTATATCGTACCTTTGATTATTTTGAAGCTCCTATTCAGGGAAATAGTCACCTTTGGCCAAATTGACCCGCCAAAAATTGCTAAATGAGATATTAATTGCAAGACTTATCACCAGGCATTAATTACGAAATTCATCATCCTTCATAATACCATCGAGCACAAGTTTTCATATTCTTTGTACATGACTTTTTGGAAAAGTCAGTCTTGCGTAAAAAAACAATAAAAATGCCACTTTTTGACAGGATGCCATAATGGTAAAATAACATGAAGTACTTGCTATTCCCAGCTCACATAATTTTAAAATTCATTTGTTTAAATTGTATTTTGTTACATTCACTAATTAATATGATTTGCAATTTTGAATTGGATTGAAAATTTGATCATAATCTTGGTTACAGGACAAAAATTACAACCAAATATCAACTTAATCTTGGTTATTAAGCAATGCCCTCAGGAGAAGTTTGTAAACATGTTCCCAGCTCCAAATTGTTAGGTGCTGTTTGTGTTGGTGCTGTGAGTGGGATGGCAGCTTATTTTGTCATGACCAAGATAAGGTGTATATGTAAACACGTCAGTGACAAATGCGACAATGATGATAAGGTAGGTGAAGTAAAGTTGGCTTAATAAAAATTAATTGCTACAACTACAGATATATGAAACCTAAATTTTTCAAATTTTTCCCAATCAAAACTACATTCCTGCTCAAGCCACTTAATATCTTTATCTGCTTACCCTACTTCCCAGAGCACTTGTAAATATGGCACAAGGGGCCATCATGGTTTGCACAAATCAAGATTTTTTTTCAAATTAGAATCCTTCACATTAATTACTCAGGCCTCGTCCTAACCCATTGATCCAAATCCCCATAATGGTAAATATTAATTTCATGCAGACTCAGAATTTTGCAGTGATACTTTGCCTTATTGTTAGCTATATATCAGCTCAATGTCTCCTTCCTATATTTTGCTTTTGAATTAATTAGAGTTTTGATTTACCTATGTAATAATTCCTTGTAAAGGGATAGTCTCTGTGCTCTAGCATTTAGTTTATCCCTGCCCCTTGGCAGCTATGCCGATGGCCTGTTATGCTCTGCACAATAACAGCCTCTGCTTTTACACTGTACTATTCCCTATTCTTCATTAGGATGACCACCCACGAAAGCTAATTCCTCAGATATGTCAAGAATTTCATCGCAAAGGATGGATGACTGGTTCTGGGGGTGCAATAAGCATCAAACTAGGGTAAAAATAATTTGGTTACATTTCCACTTAAATAATTTCTGCTGCATCTTCTGCTGACCAGGATGATTGTCCGGCTGACCAGTCCTTCAGACCATGCTCGCTCTCCTGCACCATGCTGGCTGTCCTGCAACAAGGATGATTGTCCTGCAGACCATGCTGGCTGTCCTGCTGACCATGCTGGCTGTCCTGCAGATCATGCTTGCTGTCCTGCGGACTATGCTGGCTGTCCTGCAAACCATGCTGGCTGTCCTGCTGACCATGCTGGCTGTCCTGCTGACCATGCTGGCTGTCCTGCTGACCATGCTGGCTGTCCTGCTGACCATGCTGGCTGTCCTGCAGACCATGCTGGCTGTCCTGCAACAAGGATGATTGTCCTGCAGACCATGCTGGCTGTCCTGCTGACCATGCTGGCTGTCCTGCTTACCATGCTGGCTGTCCTGCAGACCATGTTGGCTGTCCTGCTGACCATGCTGACAGTCCTGCAGACAATGCTGGCTGTCCTGCTGACCATGCTGGCTGTCCTGCAGACCATGCTGGCTGTCCTGCTGACCATGCTTACTGTCCTGCAGACCATGCTTACTGTCCTGCAACCATGCTGGCTCCCCTGTGCACCATGCTGGTTGTCCTGCAACCATGCTAGCTGTCCTGCAGACCATGCTTGCTGTCCTGCAGACCATTCTTGCTGTCCTGCAACCACGCTGGCTCTCCTGCGGACCATACTGGTTGTCCTGCAACCATGCTGGTTGTCCTGCAGACCATGCTTGCTGTCCTGCGGACCGCGCTGGTTGTCCTGCAGACCATGCTGGTTGTCCTGCAACCATGCTGGCTCTTCTGTGCACAGTGCTGGTTGTCCTGCGGACAGTGCTGGCTCTCCTGCAACCATGCTGGCTCTCCTGCAGATCATGCTGGCTGTCTTGTTGATAGTCCTAGTTGTCTGCTGACACTTGTTTGTTCAGCTGCATGACCATGGCTGTCATGCTGGCCAGTAGCTATGCTGGCAGTTTGCTGACTGGCCTCATTGTTTCTGTTGACCATTTTGGCTGTTCTATTCTGCTTTAGCCGTGTGCATGGTGCTCCGGAAAATGATGTTTTCATTAGGAGGAACATACTAGTTGTATTCTGACAACATTCCTGCTATTTTGCGCCCTGATTTCATGTTATAACAATGTTTGTTCTGTTTATTTAATCTTCAGGAATGAAATCTTTGTGTCTCCATCTGGTTTATTGAAAGAAAGAGTCAAGGTAGCTATGTTAATTATTTTAGCGACAAGTATAGAATGAAATGAAAATGAGTGCCTTTCAGTGAAAATGTTTTCCTTTGTATATTCCCAAGGCTAGTTCATTATTTGTTTGTGACATTCAAGGTACCTATTTGGATGGACCGCCAGCAAGGTTTAGTATATTTTCTCATATATTCATACACATATGCATACTGTACTTTGTTGCAGATTGAATATTGATTAATTGTTATGTTTTCTGCGATTGCAAGTAGTAATAGAATTTCAACGTTGTCTATTTTAGGCTAAATATGAAGGAAAGTTCCTGCACTCCAATGTTTATGAATGCCTATCGGAAAAAAGGTATTATACACTTCTATTTAAAATGCCTAAAGAGTGAAGTACCGTGCATGTTCTTCTAATAAAACGGCAACTTCGTGGATTGTTACGTAAGGGAATGGCACATAATATGAGTTGTGTGCAAGACGAGTGTAAAGAGACCTTAAAACGTCATGTAATTTATAATCTGTTTACTATGTATCCATTTTCGTAGGTGCAGGTGCTGTATTTCACGTTCATGCTCAGAATGCAGTTATGGTGACATTGTTGTATCCTGGAAAGGAATTTAGAATTGCTCATCAGCAAATGATAAAAGCAATTGTAAATTGTGAAACAGGGAAAAATTATAGGTATAGTAATATCTGACTTGTTACCGCTTCTGTTTGTTTTCAGACGTTAACTTCGTAGCTAAGATAAACAGAGTATTGACTACAGTCTACGTATTACTAGCCTACATTGTTCTTTCGAAGTTCTTTCAAAACATGACATTTCTTAGTGTTAGAAGTTCCGTCGAGCGTTGCTGGAAACGTTAAGTGCACAAATGCAGCCTTTTTCACGGCAATTAGCGTTGCTAGAAACGACCATTTTAAATTTTCATGAGGATCTATTCCTGAAGGATGTATATAGAAAGGTCGTTCAAATCAGAAGGATATGCTAGCCTCACTCTCGGGTGTCACCTTCTTCTGGCGCTAGCATCGTTGCCAAACTCCCCACTTCATTGGCGACACTATTTGAAGTCTTTCAGATGCTTTGTGATTGAGCTCACTTCAAACTCTTTGAATTCTAGCTGAGGTTTTTTGAGGGCTATTAAGTGATGAATGCTCGATGGCCCTTGTGCTTGAAAGACCTTGTCTTTTTTCGAAAGACATTTATGGTCACTATTGCTCATTTTAACCAGACTTGTTGCTCATTTTGACTAGAATAAGGCATTTACTCCTTACTCGTTTAGCCTTTTTTCAACCATCTTAATGACGCCACCAGCCAACCCTGTTTTACTACAACACTGCAGTAGTTGAATGTTCCTTAATAGCAGCCGTGCGATTAAAATATTTATGTAATGATTTTCTTGTAGATATGACGAGGAGCTTGTTATTCCAATAGTTGAGAACGAAAATGAAGAAATAGAGATAAAGGTAGCTATATAGAGGAAGAGATTACCCTTTTTACGTATTTTACCTGTTTAGCTACTTTTGACTTTTTTTTTATCAAATGTAGGATAGTATTGTGGCAGCCATGGATGAATCCGGAGACATCAGCTGTCTTAGTCAGAAATCATGGAATTTATTTATGAGCGAAAACCTGGGTTAAAGCTAAAATAATGTAAGTAATGTTTTATACGAATGTAGACGTTCCTTAGGCTTATAGTTTATCAGTACGTCGCATTTTGGTCACGTCAAACGCAATGCGAACAATAAACCTCATTAAAGGGACATTACGTATATTTTATCATTTTGTATTGTTTCAATTGCATATCTAAATCAGTGATCTTTATCTATAGATACTAGGTGATACTAGGTGGATACGGGTAGTGTCGCAGCTGCTCGCAATAATGATTTTCATTGGGTGAACTCCACAATACATTTCTGTTTGAACCAACAGCATAGCTTCGTTCTTTAGAAAGCATTGAAAAGCATTATCCAATTGCACGAAAGCTTCTGAGCACTGCAACATGTCCCGGTGATACTAGGTGATCCTAGGTGATACTAGGTGATCCTAGGTGATCCTAGGTGATACTTGGTGACAGCAAAACTAACGAGCCAATCGTGTAACTTCCGTTGGCTTTTCGCGTTTGAAGTATTTTTGACAAAAGTATTTGGTTAAAGCTCAGTTCCAAACCACCTAATTTATGCCTGCTATTTGACAGTTAATTAATTTCTTTCCTTTATATACTGTACTCTAGGTGCGAAGCTTACGACTATATATTCGAAGTGGCTGTAAAAATGAAGAGTAATGGATTAGATCCTATGAAGCATACTACGAAGTAGTCGCGACAAAGTATCCAATTGCCGTCTAAAAGATTAACTGAAGAATTTTAGTTAAAAAATAAAAGTTATAAGTTAAGTTAAAAAATAAAATTGAAAAGAATTGAAACATCACGGGAAAGTCAGAGAGGGTTTTTCTACGTGCTCTACATGTATTTTAATTATTGGAGTTCAGTCTTTAGATTCTAAATCAGTCTTAAAGTCGTGCATTGATTGATATGATGGATCTTCGTGTTTCTGGATCGTTGTGTTATTGATCGCTATGTACTGCATACGTGGTGTATATGATATATCTTCTGAACATCAGATCAGTGGGAGGGACGAATTAAATTTGAAAACCCTCATATGTCACTTTTCTTGGCACCCAATATTGTCAGTTACACATTTCATTCTGATGTGCTTGGTATTTCCGGCGACAGCATTCAGACGCACTCCAGAATGTTCTTAAAATCTCTTTACAAACGCCATTTTCAAAAAGCTAATATATAGTGTCGGTATCATTTTTGGTTTGAATATTGATTGTCAGAACGATGTTACTGAAAGCAATTTTAGACCGCATCTAACGACCAATTCTCGAATTAAACTAAAATTTTAAAACTTGGAAAAGCTGCTTTAAAGGACATCCCAATATGATACAAAATTTCCATACAGCTATATATTCGTTCAAGGTTAGGTTTCGTAACCGTACTTATACTATACCTACTCATAACACATTTCGCAACTAAACTTTCATTCTGATTGTCCTCCTAGTTTAGAATTTAGCTTCATATATAGATCTAAATCTCATTGATATTATCATTCAACCAAACAGCATTCACTTCAACTAGCCACTAACAAGCATTAACTCAAAGACAAGTCCGTTCAAATTATTTGTTAGGCAGTCACCGACAAGCTTACAGTGTCAGGGGTTTAACTTCAATTTCAGTGTGTTTTTTTTAATGATCACATATTAAGACACAAGAACGGCTTTGTAACATGATTTTGATGAGCTTTAGTCTGGCTGTCGAATACTCTTCAATAATAAAAGACAGCGAGTCTGGTTGTGAGAAGAAAAACCAATACCAATAAAATATTTTAGCACTAAATAGAAAACAAAACATAAACAGAAGGGCAGAACATCTTAAAAAATGAAATTAAAGTGTACAATATATTGCAAGGTCTTATAATATGAACTAGTTATGATCCATGACACTTTATAATATAACATTTATAATACGCGCGTGCTGATTGGTCAAAAAGCGTGTTTCTATAACTATCGAAACACGGAAAATTTTTTTATTTCTTAACTGACACACGGAAGTCCTAAAAAATGAAAATATCACGAGCTTATCCTTGTAAGTTTCAACCAAGAATCTGGTTTCCTAGATTTTTCCAAAGGAATTATCAACAATGAGAGGCAGTGGTTAGTTATAATTTGTTTTTTCAGCCGTATGATTGTAAGCTGATTGCTCGCAAAACAAATATTTTTAGTCAAGGAAAGGAAGCATTTTGAAGAACAACTCTTAAGGATTATGAAGTCATGCAATGGGGTAATGGACTATTGAGAAGAATTATCGTTTCAAAGCAGATTTAAGATGGGACTGAGACCCGCCGTTCCTGGTTTAAACATATGCACAAAATTCTCACGCTTATTTCGAATATCATATTTCAATTTCGAACTTCTAGAAATAGCTATGAAAATCGTGCCAGAACACGACAGATCGGCCCACAAGGTGACTTGAACATGAGTATCCCACCTGAAACACTTTCCATCGTGACCGCGAAGATACAGAAGTCTGGGGCGATGTTTGATTCTTTTATTCGTGGACATAAAATTGTTTTGTATTGACAAACGTAGTGGTTGTTTCACATTTCATTGCGATCTTTACGCATTTTAGTCGTAAAGAACCACACAATGTCTATGAAAGGACAAAACCGTACTTCGAGTACCGAAGAATCGTACACTTACACAAATTTCTGGGGGGATTGACGGCTATAAAAACACTGTAAACGACTAGAAGATGGTGCTGCACTGTGCGACGAATTCACGAAGATGGTCCATGAACGAGCAGATATTGAGATGAAATACACTTTAAAGTTGCGAGATTGGTCTAAACGCTGGAACGAGATAAATGCAGGATATCAGAGTATGGTAGTATGTTAGAAGTTTTCAAAGCGACTCTTCGCGAGCCGAGGACATGGTGAATTCACGTCGAAAGGCACAACCGTTTAAAGGCCGATTTGTGCGAATCTATAAACAGTGGAAGAATCAGCACTACCACAAATCTGTTTTGAAGTGGAAGGAGGTCAAAGAGTGTGAGACGGGTTTCAGCAAGATATACGAACCATGGCAAGGCGTTATAATAAGATGGATAAATCGAAAAAGAATTTCACCGAGCAGCGAAAGCCTCAGAGTGCTTCATTGGTCGCGAGTAATGCAGACAAGATGGCAGTTGCCTGAGAAAGTAAAGATTACAAGACAGGACGCGAAGCTAAATTAGAGCTGAGGAAGCCGAAAGAATACGAGCGACGTTTATCTGAGATGAATGCGAACAACGATACGTCGCTGAGGAACTCGAAGCTGAATTCCAAAAGTGGGAGCGTTTGAACAGTCCGTTTATCGTTCTTCAAGGACGCCTGCAAGATATCACAATGTGGTGGATATGTCGGAGAGTGAAAGGTATGCAATGAATTTCTCTCTTTTGTGTGTATAACTGATCTGATTTCCTACCGCTCATGTTATTAAATCATCGCTAAACATATTTCGTGCTTCGCCTGGGATTAGAATGCATGTTCGGTTTCCGGCTTTTTTATTGATTGTGTGAATTCTGAATAGATTTTTTGTTGCCCGGTGATTTATCAAACTGTATGAATTTGCTCACGATTTTTCAGCGATTTCTGTTAGCTAATTGAGATGATTGCCTAATGTTAGCTACAGGCTATTAATTCATAGTTCATACCAAATAAATACAGGTTGTTTGCATTTCAGTTTGAAAATTGAAACCATCATATAAAAATGTGCAATCAATTGCCTTATTAAGACTGGTTGAACGTCTTGAGTGATACTTAACAAGTCTGTACCTAGTTTTTCAACCAAGTTGATTAAAACCATTGATTCATGTTTTTGCTGCACCCCACAAGTTAATTATCAACAAAGAACGATATTGTTACAACTTTAATGGAAAACTTTTTAGGTTATTAAGAGTTTTTAAAGAGTTATTAAAGTAATAAATAGCCATGAGAATTATATAAACAAATGCTAATCACAGCAAAAAAGTCTAAAAGGAAAAAGCTCATTTCAGTTTTGGCCTGTTAGTAATTTCATAATTTGGTGATTCCAAAATCATGATGAATTTTAGTTACCAGTACCTGGTATATATAGTTTTTCTATTAGGTCACACTGAGCTTTTAGGAATACTGTAATATCTGGATGTTTTTAGCTTATTATTTCTGATCTGGTTGGCTAAGCAAGGGAGTTTGAAATTAAATCATTTTAAATGCTTGTTTGAAAATGTACCAGGATCGCATTATACCGCGCTTATACGGGCTGTTACATAATACAGAGCTGCGGTGGCACCAGTTTTATGAGGCTGAGAAAACATTTTAATCACTGAAGGTGGCAACACTCATAAGGGTGATGTGTTTGGTAGTCATGACTTATATGTGTGCATTTTTACCACTTTGTAAATATATAATAGATGTGGAAGAATGAAATCATTTAACTTGAAGTGTACTAGTGGCCACCAACTACAAAAAGTGTCTATTTACATCACTGTTGTATGCATTTTTTATTATATTCTGCATACCTTTATGTGAATATTAATGTGCTACATATTATTATGCGCTACATATTTTCTAACCTGTTTAATTAAGATATTCAAATCTTTTATTTGAATTCAGCTCAAAAGTTGCTAAGGCTGTTTTACTTCGTAAATCTCATATTGGAATGCTACATACAATGAATACCATAAAATATTTTTCAGATAAAGAGCTAGTGCTTTTTAGGTGTAGGTACTAGATCCTTTGTTAGATTTTACCGTTTGGAAAACACTCTTGATTTGGTCAGCCTTAATTACAATGAAACAGTGGTATTTAAAATCACTGGCATGCCTAGCATCACTCTTTCATGTTATTACCCTCATTACACAGCAGGTGGAAAGGTGCAGCCCACTTCTCTTAATAAATAATTATTTTCAACCCAAATCTGAGATATTGTGTAATGATATCTTATTGTGAAATTCTATGATCACATATTTCACTGCATGCTCACACATTCTCTGAGTGCTTATAACTGTTCACTCGGGTAACTTCCCAGTGCTCTCGTATTTGATTTTAAGGGGTGGTAAAACACTTCTAGGGAAGGATTAGATCATTCTTGATTCTACCTAAGAAAGTTGTCAATTTATGGTACATCAAACTATGATTTCACATGTTTTAAAAAACTACCAGTAAGCAAAAAGTGTAAGGTCATGGAAGTTAGACTTCGCCGTTTGTCGGTTCCCGCCAACTTAGATTCTTCGTTATCCACTCGGATATGTGTAGTTCCGGTTGTAACGGGTACATTAGTCTCTTCATTTTTTCAATCATCAAAATTTTACAGCGTTATCCATGTGGTTCTAAAATATCGCTTTTTTGTTTAAAATAGTCTCTTTCAAAGAAGCTTGTATCAGTAAAACGTCTTAGACTTAGAACGTCTTAGACTTAGCTACTTAAATCTAGATGACTGTAATGCGATCGATGAAAGCGTATCCTTATCCGAGATTTTGATACAATTCCAAGATATTGCGTCTGTATTTGTGATCAATCATCGCCAGTATTAGTTTGCATCTGATGGAATAAAGTTGTCTTTTCAAGAAGTCGAACTTTGTCCTCTGCATACTCTATTAGCGCTGGAAGTTTATAAATTGCCTTCGAAATAATTTTCCGTCTCCAGTTTGTTATATTATACATAGTTCAGGTCAAGCTAATTTCCACGTTAATTCACAAACAATGACTCATCATTTCTCGCGCTGTCGGAGTTTAAATTTATTGGTTTTTGAAATATAACCTTAATTGAATTATCCGAATATTAGGTTTTGCATTGATGCGATATGATATCAAAACTTCCATAATAAAGAAAGTTGACCAGTTTTTATTTGCCGTGCATGTGATCTAAGCTGTTTGACTTTCAAAACAAAGCAAAAGCTAATAATTATTGGTTTATGTGCAATATCGATTATTTGTTCTTTCATTTAGATTGACCAATATTTACAAAGGGTTGTTATTAAAGGTTGATGGTTCTGATGCAACCAAAGATCTCAAGTGGTGGTCGTCGCAATATGGACCGGGGATGCCTAAGAAATGGCCTGAATTTGAGGTTTGAATTTCTTTTTCCATTTTTACAAATCGTGCAAGAGTAGCGTACTAAGTATAACAACCTGTACAAGAAAAACAGCTGTTTTTACGTATGAAATCATTCTAGTTTATAGAAATTACCTATTCAGTAACGAATGCCGTAGGAAACGCGGCTTTACTACACTTTAAATTGCCGGTAGCTTCATTAAGATTCATTGTAGCGGAATGTAGAGTAGCGTCTGAGTCAGAAAATTGCCTGAAGGCCAAGTTTCATATAACTCCAGGAAAAGAAAGAACCATACAGTAGCTATACATGAAGCAATGAAACTGCAAATGAATCCTACTTGTTTCAAAAAAGAAAAGGCTGCATGTTAGATGCATGCAGAATAGGCGGCAATTACGGGTAACCGCCTCTTAATAAAAACACTGGTTATTACACTTACTACTCCTAGAAGGACAAATGTAACTACATTATTACAAAGCTATATGTACCTTTCACTATAGTTCCTGTGCGCTACTGTTAATTGCATACTATAGCAGCAACATTTTATATAAAGTATTATATTCCAAAAATCCTCGGTTTTCCGATGTTTCATAAAAGTTTGGGATGCATTTCGCCTCCCTACGTATGTATATGGCTTGCCTTCAGCACGTGCACGAGTTCATTTTCATTCCGTGGAAAGTTGTGAGAATCAGTGAGATTAGTGCGCTGTGTTCCTCGAGAGCAGCCATGCTCAGTTCTTATGCCATAGCTAAGAAAGGCGGTCTAAAATAATGTTGTTTTGAAACGTGTTGTTCTACCGTAATGACGCTGATTATAGCATTCACTTTACTCGTTGCATGCTAGCTACAAAATCGAGTTATAACTATTTTAGCGAGTGAATACACGTACACACTAAGAACGTCAGATATGTTTTTTTATAATTTTTATATCCTATACCATAGTTCTTACTACAATCTTCGTAACTAATACCAGGGGCGAATCCTAGTGCAAGTCAAAGCAAATAACTGCTAGATTATGTACTGGCCTAAATAACGCCGTTATTAGCTACGAATTTCTTGAGAATATTTCAAATCTATAGTTTTGAAAATAACATTCCCAAAATAGGAACTGCATGTTCTTATTCCTTTTGACTTACGCATTAATTACTAATTTTTAGACGTAGTTAGCTACCCTGATTATTATTTATAGTACATAAGTATTATAAGCTGAACGTCGATAATTTGCGTTTACACGGGAGAGAAAGAGTTTTATTCGTGGAAAATTCGTATCAGACACTTTGATAGATTATATTCGTCGTTCATGTCTCAGACTATGGTCATTCATATCGCACACACGTTTGTATTTCCTACTAAAGACGTCCTGGTTTCACCCGCGATTACAGCATCCGTTATCCCTGGCTAATGTTTGCACGAGTTAAATAGGTTCGGATTCGCAGAAATTTTTGCAAAATTAACGGTTGAAACGTCGCCCGTTTATACTGAGACGTTTGACTAGCTTATGACAGTTCAATGATAAATATCCAGGGTTTCCACAATGCAAGGAAATTTCTTTGCAAATTGAGAGCCACAGGCACAGGGAAGGAAGGGGTCTATGTTAATAGGATATATTTTTGATTCTTTTCAAGTTCTTTTTTTGTCATTGCTCTCCCACTATGAGGACAGCCATATATGCAAATAAGTTGTGGAAACCCTGTAAATATCATAGTCATGCAATCACTCGCTTGGATCAATCAGCTGATGAATTTCCTGCGAATCCGACTTCCTTTCTCTCGTGTAAACGTGGTCTCCTGCTCCTCCACAGGATCCTGACGTATGGGATATTTCCTCGAACCAACATAAATCGAAACCAAGCATGATCAGAAGACTTAGTCTACGAAGGCGAAACAGTAAGCAACGATATAGAACATCGGTTACCGTGACAACACCTGCACAGCCTGAGAATACACGGGCATCCGATTCAGACTCGTATAATCCCTTCATGAGTGCCTCCACTGAGCCGGGTAATGATGAAGATAATAACGTGACCTATGACCACCCTAGATCATCATATTACATGACACCATCAAATGGCATGCAGGAAGGCTTCCCTCACGATGAACATTATAGATCGCCAAACATTGTTGATTCTTATAACGACGCCTGGAATAGAAACACGACATTTTCTCCGACGAATCGCGAGCAAACTGCTCATTCCGCATACCAACAACCCAGTGGTAATGATTATTATAACCAAACGAGTTGGGTGAGTATTCTTTGTTTGCAATCGATTTCCCTGAGTTGCCAAGCAATCAAACAACTCCGGAGATTCTTCTCTCATGGAACATGTAAGAAGATTTCCAAACGCATTAAAAGATTAAACGAACGTTTAAAAAACTACAATACGCGTTATTGCCAGATGCAATTCAATAACGTCATTGCTATACCAGGCAACCCGAAGATAATGGCGAACCACGTTGCCCTCCCCTCCCCCCTAATCTTCGTCGAAATGGATCACCTTCTCAATGTTTGAAGGCAAGCAACCGCCTTCGAGGATGGCGACGAGAGAAAACGAAATGAAGCAAAACAATAATCTAACCAAAATAACCCTAACAAAATTAACTGATTAACATTAGTGTATTGACATAAACACGTTGACCAGTGTTGGACCTGAAGTAATTGATATGAATAAACCTGCGTCGCGCTTGCAGTGAAGTAAGGAGTCAGGTGTACCAAGATGGCGTACTTGTCTCAGAGGGAATGTGCTGCTGTTGATTTGGAACCTCCATCAACTCTACAGTTGGATTCGCTCTTCTGTTTTCTCTAAGAAATCCTTGCAGCGTGAAGAGTCGTTTCCGCAAAAAAGTTTATTTAAACATGGGAAACCAACATCTACTGTACAAAAACATGATTCTAAGTATTGTCGTCCAAATTACGTATATGCAAGTAAACTGAGTGTGTTATGAAATAATTAATGTTTTAAATTAAGGTGAAGAACTAAACTATTTCACTAAATGTATATTCATAAATCTAGTATAGTGGCTCACTCAATTCGCTTTAAGAAAGAATATGTAGCGTCGCGACTAATTAACGTTGTGTTGATAAAAAATATTAATAATTTATTGTTAACGACTTGAGAGTTGATTGAAAAGCTTAAGTGTTTTTGAGGCTGTAAATGCAACTCATCTTAGAATCGCGGTATTTTCTTTGACATGAGTACCTGCCTTTTTATATATGAATATCCTCATCATCATCTATAAATATTCTTTTTTGCTCTTTAGGAGTATGACCCAAGTGGCACATCGACCGCTAAATCTCATCCAACGACTGATGTTGCAGTGGATCATGATAATGATAGTGTAGATGGTGGAGCTCAATTGCAAAGAGAAACTACTGGAGCCAGTTTGAATCCGTTTGATAATGACGATGACGAAGATTTCGTAGAAGATGAAAAGTAAGATGACAAATTTCTTAACTTTTTTTCCTTTCTAACTTGTGAACAACAAGGGGGTATTTCGTTTTAGACCAATCAGCAAGTTTAACCCAATCAGAGTGTATAAATTTTGATAAAAAGTACAATAAATGCCTTTTTTACATTCCTTGACGTTCTTGCGAACACAATGTTGCTGGATAACTGAATGAACAAGCTACTGTAAACATTGTTGTAGACATTCTTAGATTTCTTTGTTTCAAACAAAATCATGGAAAGTCTATGATAACAATATTTGGATAATCCAGTAAGCTAAACGAACTTTTTTCTATTTTAACACCCAGAGAGGGAAATTTTTGTTTCTTTGCATCTTAATAGAAATCTTTATAAAATCGTAGTATTTCTGGTTTAATTGGCTTCTAATTGGCTTCTTACTGGTACTGGACTATCGCGTGATGTTAATACATACACTGCTTTGTTTGTTAGTACTGAAGTTGAAGCACCAAAGGTGAATGGTGATATATTAGACAATGGTATACCTGAAAACGCAGATGATGTTACTGGTGTCCCTGTGCGTGCTAAATATAATTACGATGCAAGCGAAGACGATGAACTATCGTTCCAAGTTGGAGATATCATCACCCAGTTATCAGGTGAAGATGGTCAAGGATGGTGCAAGGGAAGACTAAATGGTGTCGAAGGACTATTCCCAGCGAAGTGGGTGGAGGCTGTTTAGTGATGAATAATAATTTCAGAAATAATAGTGGATAATAAGAATTTCAGTAGCAGACACATAGGTTTCCTTTCACATATATTGAAAATCCATGGTTGCCCAAACACCACTTCAGAACGTGCTGCTTTCGCTTGGGTTCGATTTTCCCTCACCAAAATTTTAGTACACCAATTGTCGAACTAACTTCTGGTAGCTTATATTTTTGTTTATACTAAGCTCTTTTAAGTGTCAAACAACTTCAGTTCTTACCTTTTTTAAAACAAGCGTTGCTGTTCGTTCACTTCTCACCCTTGCCCTTGCGAAATTTAGTGGTCCCCACACAAAGTGTCTTCTCCTGAAGTATTTATTGAATAATTTAATCATGAAATAAAATATATATTGTAATATTATCCAGCAAGGTTTCGTAATACGTCGTTGAAGAGGGCGTCACTTGCCGTAGAACAATTCCCACGAATATGAGATGAAGTTCTCAATATTTCCCTACTAAATGATATGTTCTGTTGAATTAAAAAATGAACATTGGGACAAAACTATTGCTATACCTAACTATATATACGAGTAACTATATACCCACTTAAAGAACACAATTAAAGCCACCTAGAACGGTTGTACGAAAGCTGGATAGCGCTATCCACCGGATGGTGTTTTTTCAATCGCTCTAAAGCTAAAACTGCCCATTGTTCCGTATAACATGGCTTAAAGCTTAGTAGTTTTAAATTGAGGCACCTCTTTAAAGATTGTCAGCCACAAGTCTGTAGTTTTATCCCTTCAAAACATTTTTACAAGGTTGAGAAGATCACTATCCGGTGGATAGCGTTATCCATGCAGCCTTTCGTACAACCGGTCGCTGTCATATAACCGTAAAAATCGGAAGCATGTATATATTTTAGTAATATTAATTAAGAGACGATTATGTAAAAATACTAATCTATATGCATCGAGGCACCGCCGTCTGATTCAACACTGGCTTTACCGCAAATAATCGCATTTTGTGATTTGTGGTCTGAAACAAAATTAAATATTAATATACATGCATTTTATGCATTACGACTCAGAAAAAGGACAAAGTTTGTGACTGTTTTTGCATTTGCGATCTGAAAAACGAAAATTGATTGACATGGATATACCAGTTTTGAGACTACCGTGCATGGTACGGAGTTGCGAAATGTCAAACTGTCGAAGCTATTCGACGACCAGCATAAAAACTATGCGGTACTTTTTCTCTCAGTGTCACTTTCTTTTAATCCATTTTATTCACGAGCCTCAAAACGTTTCAGCTTTTAGATAGCTCTAATATGTATCCAATTTACTGTTTTCCTGGCTGACCGGGCCGCGATGACCTGTATATATCGCCTATGTCTGCTTATATGCTTTGCCAATATCTACGCCATATTCTATTTGGATTAGAATAATCATAACCAATTTCGCAGAACTCGTACCCCACTACATCCGGGGAACGGTGCGCGCATTTCCATATGTCGCGTTTAGCAGTGGCAACGAATTAAAAAAAATTATCTCAGTTCGTTCCTATATAAAACGAAACTAAGGTTTGAAATACAAACGAAAACACTTAAAAACATCTTTAGATAAGTAAAAAAATTTCGACATTTATGTTTACGCTATAGTTTAAAAAAAAAATTTGCGATCAATGATTCTCACTTAGCGTCTCGTGACATCACCAGTGACACCCCCTTACTCCCTGAGCTACTCACCTAAACACCTATTAGAGCGTCACTTATTTTTTGAATGCGCCCTTTTTGATCTCCAGGGAGTTTTGCAATAGCACAATGCGGGTTTCACTTATGCTAATATAATATTAGTGAGTTTAAGGGCCTGATTCCACCGGCGCTTTTTCTCGGCGAAATGCAAAATATTTCGCCAGTTTTTTTTTGAATTTCGACTACTTGAATACATTACTTCTGCTTGATTGTTCACAATTCAAAAGGAGCAGGCGAAATATTTCGCATTTCGCTTAAAAATTTCGCCCGTGGAATCTGCGCTTACGATTCAACGCGGACGTGAAGTAATATACTGCTCGAATGCCCCAGACCCTCCCATTAATAAAACAAAGTCAGAGCCGTATGTAAAACAACTTAATACTGGTTTCCTAACACTAGTAATTGTTTTAATGTCACGTCCGCGTCGTAGCGACTAGCCAGATTTAGTGCAACTCTCCATTTTTACCACAAAGCTTCAGTATAGTGATAGGAATATATTTTATTTACACCAAAGCGAGTCTTGGTAAATACAAAACATAACGGAAATATTAAAGCCTAGTTGCACAAAAGAGTAGTGGTATGTAATTATGGATCGTAAACGGTATAATCGGGATTGTTTCTATACAGGGTGTCTCAAAAAAAACGCAACCACTTAATATTCTAAAATTCATATTGTTCATAAGCTCAATAGATTTTATGCCCCTGGGAGTTTAAAATGGCTTCTAATCGTACAGTTCAACTGCTAATAGTCAAATCAGCTAAACTAATAATGGTGCAGCTAACAACCGAACAACGAGTTTTTATTGTCATGCATGATAACTTGAATGCTAACTGTCGACCTTGTAAAATAAATTATAAATAAAATTTTACTCGTTGAATACTTTCAATTCAGCTCGTTGGTTTACGCACCCGACTTCGTTTACCGACGATTGTGCCGCTTGAATATGATTACAAGCTTTCTCGCATTCCAGGGGACAAACGTCTTTTGTGTTGTAGAACAAAGAGGATATTCATGAATATTAAGTGGTTGCGTTTTTTTTGATACACCCTGTACATTAAATAGAAAGTTTGAAAGTGGATAAGGTGCAGAAGAAAATCGCGTAAAGCTAGGTCTGTTCACACAACCCATTTTTGTTGGATCCAATTCACTTCTGACGTATGAAATACAGTCGGTTATTGATGAAGCAGTACTGCATTGGCTTCAGTAGATTTGTTGCTCATATACATTACAAGACCACAGACTATAAAACATCCGTCAGAAGTGAATTGGATCCAACAAAACTGGATCGTGTGAAGAGACCTATAAGGAAACCTGTTATTAAAATCTTTAAACAAATAGTCTTATGATCATAAAAATACATAAAACGTCTGCATACAGAGCTCTCACATATACAGGGTGAGTAAAAAAAAGTGACACCTTTGAAATTCAAATTAGTCGCATAGCGGTATACGAAGCATATCATATTAATTAACCTAAAGCATAAAGTTTGTTCCCATTGGGAGTTAAAATGCATTCTAAGCTCTGTTAATAGAAAAGAACAGTTTTATCAAATCGTTTTTGTTGATTGTACATGGGAATTGTCATATTCCAGCCATAAGTTCGCAGCAAATTTGAATTTCAAAGGTGTCAGTTTTTTTTACTCACCCTGTATAGGCATGGATACTTCAAATCTTTAACACTTAAAATTTAAAAGATTTGCAAGATATTAGCCTAGTATGTTTCTTTGTAATTTGAAGCGTCTGCATCGCAGCTAGGCTAGCAAGATATGAAATAAGGTGTTTGGTGCCAATGGTGTGAAGACGTTAGCTAACCTTACAAACCTGGTGCTTTGGAATAACCTTGACTTAGAACACCAGTATTCGAACATGGGCCAACGATAACTTGAATGAAGATCACGTCGTCCTTGACATATTGACGGTCATTCAGACTCTCAAGTGGCATGAATCGAGGACGTCCTGTTGCAATATTCATATCAGACTGTGGCCGTTGGAAAGATGGATTTTGTGGATCTGTATTAAATGAATCGACCATGTGATCACCATTACCTTGATCCAACAGCATCATGGTGATTTCATGTCGAAATGGCCAGGTTTGAAGAGCATCGTATTCCCCTTTTCATAGAAACAAAATTGACATTGTGATAACACCTAAATCACCAGTTACTTTCATCAGGGGTGGATCCAGCACTAGTGCACTAATTTGCATTACAAAACAAAGTGGTTATTTTTAGTAGTTTAATTTCTTGTGTCACGCAAATTAGTGCACTAGTGCTGGATCCACCCTTGACTTTCATGCTACCATGCCATGATGACGATGTCCAATGAACAGTACGTGGAATTGTATACTCTGCTATATCATAACGCCGAGAGCCTGGGAACTACTTTGAATTGATCGAGAAACACACTGACAGTTCAGCTTACAAAAAAGAGTACATTTTGCCGCTCGAAACTAAAAATATTATAATTTATTTAACAAAATAATTGAAGTTCAACAAACCTCTCATAACAACAAAAAACAAGGATAAGTGAGATCCTTTTCCAGATCCATCGCCATTCATGTAGATTTTAGCACACATCTTATAACCATACTGACCGCTGTAGAAGGGTTGACTGTACAAGGATGTTTTTACCCCATTTATGGCGTCTTGTCGTTTCTTCTGGTAATCCTCAATCTTCCACAGCAAGGTGCCGTTGCAATCGTGGTTCACTGGTGGACTACCACGACCACTTTCGTGTGACTCCAAGTCGGCAATCCTCATCGAACTAAGAGAAAGAGCCTCGCCCGCCTGATCCACCCTGCTTCGCATCCGTTCCAATTGCAAATGTTTTTCTCTTAACGCTTGCTCTAGGATTACATTGCGTTCGCGTAAAGCGTTGATTTCATCGGTGAGTTTCCCATCTTGCTTCACGAGTTCATCTCTCTCCCTGGCATCACCACCAACATTGGCTTCCAAACGTTCAACTCTTCTCTGCAATCCAGTTAATTTTTCCACCATGGTGAGACATTTTTCAGCTAAGCTTGAACGAACTTCGGCGATACTTTCTCGAATCTTCTGAATGATTCCGGTAAATTCAGGTCGTGGGATGTAGTTGCTTAGTTGACTGACCGAATTAAGAACAAAAAGCAGAAGCAGACGGAGACGGTCGATCACAGAATAATTCATACGATGGGGAAGATTCCCATCAGTCTACAAAAATTAAATATTTTTATTATACTTCCTATCAAAGATTTTTAGAGTATTTTTGCACAAGTGAACATAACAAATCCTACATTCTGATTGGTCAAATTTGGGCGCATTATGCTGTTATATTGACCTTCAGGTGAATAACAAATAATATAACAAATTTCTGAAAATGGCGGCTAGCCGTTTAGTAGACGTTACTTACAAAGAGACAAGCGAACAAATGCAGTTCTTGTGTCAATTCACTTGTGCAAAAATACTAAAACAATTATTCGCCTTAGGCTAGGTGATTATCGGGGAATATTCACCTCGACTTCGTCCGACTTTGTTAAATATTTGTATACATAGTTTCTTGCAGAGGCGGCGGGTAATTTCGTCATATTCTATTTTGAGGGGGAGGACTGAATTTAAAGTATAATATCGCATATTAATTCCCCACGCGTGCGAGCACAAAGAAATCAAATTTCTGCCATAATAAGCAAATATACATGCACATACGAATTTGCATGTGTTGGAAAATTGTAAGCTTTTTTAAGCAGGAACCTGCTCTCTTTATTATAAGGAAATCAGCACTTATGGCATTGACATTCACACTAAAATATTACCGTAGTTTGACAGCGAAAGGTTATAAATTACGTAGTCGTAGATAGGCAAATTATGACTTAGCATGATTTATTATTAAACACATATTGATAATATTATTGTCATCAGAGCGAATATGAGAATAAAGTTAATAAGAGTGATTTGCTTCGCATATTCGTCTATCTGGAGATATATATGTGATTTGGGATGAACATCGACCGTTTCGTTACACTGGTAAGTGGTAACAGTGGCTTGGTTGGCACATATCAATGATATCATTCATGTCTGCGATAATATCCAGGATATTAATTTTTGACAACATTGTAAGAATACCCAAAAGCATGGCATAAATTATGTAAATCACGTGACTGTCTTGTGCCGATTTCGTGTGCACGACTGTCTTATAAACCAAAATATTCCAAAAAAGTTCGATAAAACAATTGTATTATAAAAACCTGTTTACACTATACCATATTCACATGGTCACGACATGCATCTTAAAGGGAAATAGCAATATTTTTTCATTTTCTCATTTAAAAGAACTTTGAAAACTATATTTAATTCCCTTTTACCGTTTTTTTATATCTTGCTTACTTCTACAAATGTTTTGATCGAAAGGAATAAAATATCCGCCATCTTGGATAATTTTTTATCTCATCAACGGTAGTTTTGGTGACGTCACAACAGGGGTTAGCATTAAAAAAGTATTCGTTGCTGGCAAAATATTGATTAGTAAATGTAAATCGAAAAAAAGACAAGATAACATTCAATAAGAGCATGCATGTAAATGTATAAAAAATGAAAGATAATATTAAAACAAGCTTATCTATGGATAAGCGTATTATATTTGCGAGAGTATTATATTTGCATTTGAGCAATGTTTTCAACAATGCGTCAACTCAGAATATCATTTGCATGCAGTTGCTTGCAGCAATAGATAATATAGATAATACATGGTTTGGAGACTAAATAAAAGTAGAATACAACTCATTAACTATGTTATTGTCCAGGTTTATGCAAAAATGATTCCTTTCTGGTCACGTGTCTATTGTATTTTAGCCAAATTTACCAATGGCATTCGTCTTGCTGAGCTCCTCAACCTTGACTTGAAAAATACGTTAATTATAAGATTGCTGTTGGTTTATCTGTGCAAAATACATGTATGAGAAAGGAACAATAGACATGTGATGAGAAAGGAACAATTTTTCGCATAAATCTACCTCAACATAGTTAATGAGTTGGTTTGTAGTTTTATGGTATATGTACGCGATATACTGTCGCGATGTATATTTATGTCACAAAAATTGCAATAATTTAGATTCGGAAGCATATTGACCTTGCTGTCTGTCTTCTTGTTGAACCATGTAACCGTGAAATACCAAACAATCCTGAATATTGATACTTAGTGATTTCTGTGATGAATTACTAATTGTATTTTGATACATGAGAACATGTTTTGTCTGCATTTACACAACACAACCTAGCTGCTATATTAATTATACATTGCATTTCAGATTAGTGATAAGGTTAGGGTTGTTGCTGAATATATTAAACTAAATACAGCAAGTGCTTCAAAATCACAGATAGAAGTAAACAATTGCCATGCATCGTATAAGGTATATTGCAATTGACCTACTATGGACCCCAAACTCCCTATACCAGTCAATAAAATGTCTGGCGAGTATAAATACCCCTTTAAATGGATTTTTCGCCATGAATTGTCTGACGAGTCCATTGCATTATAACATTAAAAACATTTTCACGCTGAGAGCCCAAGATTGATTTTGTTTACGTTGGATCAGTCTGTATGGTTTCAAAGGCTTCAAATCACACTCAATGACAATGAATGTGCATTATGAATATGTATTGGTTGAACTTATCAATTATAGCTAATCATGCATTTATGCTATATCTTAACACTCATTTAAAGCTGGTTTTCATGCGACAGAAACATAATTCGTTGTAATTCACGAAATTGGTTGTTATACGTGGATCCGTTTTGTTAACGTAACATTCATCAGATGCGCGGCCGCATGAACGGCATGATGGTAAGCACAAAGAAGCTGCAGGAAGCCTGGAAGTCAAATGAGCCGCTGAGGTTAGGACGAAGAAACAGGAAGTCGAATCAGCCGCTGAACGCCAATAAGATGGTCACAAATATATCACATGTAACCAGGATTTATTCTGACGTAAAAGTTTGGCATGCTTTGAACAAAATACGTATATGAATTAACACAAAATATCAAAATATAAACAAAAATATTTTTACCAGCCCGTCTGTATTTTCCTTGGTCATGCAATCATGTACAGTTAATAATAGGTGGTGTGACCAGTTAAAATCTACGATGCATCTAAAACGTATAAATAGTACTAGTTCTCAATATCAGAAAAAAAAAGTGCTGCGTCAGCCTTTCATAAGAGGTCACCACGTTTGTCTGGTAAATTCAGATGACTTTCAAGAAATCCGGATCGATTTTAAATTTCTAAATGATATTTTGTACAATGAAATAGCCGATTGACCATTCTTCACCATTGGTAGCATTGACTTCTTTTGCATAAGTTGTATGGAAAATACAGGGACACAATCTAAATTATCTTTAATTGTAAACAACTTTTGGCAATTGTTCAGAACATCTGAAACATGCCCTGGGCGAGAGAAAATATTGTATCACAAATAAATATAATTGTTTTTGGCATAACAATGTTATATTCATGGTAGCAATATCTGTTTTAATTTCAGAAATGCCTCCAATATATTCTTGCAACTGCAACTATGTGCGTTCAGGATAATTTGAATTCCTTCACATATTAGCGAACGGATAATTTAAATAATTCAAATCTAAGCGAACGTAGTCTCACATAGTTTACACTGACGTTACTAAAGCTGCCATTAATTGAGTCTAAAAGCCTTATCAAATTATTTTTGGCTAACTCACCATCTCATTTAAACAGAAACGAATTTTGCTTGCCTTGAACCACGTAACCACCACGGCATCACAAGTGATCTTTTTTGTCCTCCTGACAGACCTTACCGGTTAGACCAAGTGACCAACGATTTCAATGAAATTCCTGAGAATCAAAGTTCTTTAACCATTTAAGTTTGTTTCCATCGTGAAGTAATAGGTTGGCAAGTTGCCATCAGTGAATGGTTGAATACCATTCTGATCGATATTATATTTACACTAAAACATTCATGTCAGAGCTTGATAGAACGTGACTATGGCCACCATTGTACCTTGAATATTATATCATCTTACCATGTTTTACATTGTGTGAAGAACACTCGAGGGAACTCAGTTAGGGCTGTTTCATTTATTGCATATTGTGACTATGGCCACCATTGTACCTTGAATATTATATCATCTTACCATGTTTTACATTGTGTGAAGAACACTCGAGGGAACTCAGTTAGGGCTGCTTCATTTATTGCATATTGTGACTATGGCCACCATTGTACCTTGAATATTATATCATCTTACCATGTTTTACATTGTGTGAAGAACACTCGAGGGAACTCAGTTAGGGCTGTTTCATTTATTGTTCGTAAATTATGAGTACCTCAGATTTCAGGAGTGGAACAGAAAGCCTTGTATATATTTGTATTGAAAGATAACGAAAGACACTAGTGCATATTAATACTGCCAGCAATTTGTTTTTAATTACAAAATTTAATTTAAAAGTAATACACAATAGTCATTCTTAAAAGATACGTAAAACTATAGATCACTTATAAAACCATCAAGGGTTGGATATAAAATGTTTGTTCACATTCATGAGATATAGCAGATAAAAAGATAATTAGTTAATTATTTAAACAGAAGGGTTGGCTAGTCTTTAGCCGTTTAATTTTAAATAAACATCGATGAAAAAAGGTAAATCGTCATGACGAAGAGCTGGAAATGACGACGATCCATTCAAGGTATCAGTCATTTTTCCTCAATCCCCGAGCCGCGACGGTACTAATTCCGCCCGGTAATTTTAATTACGCCCGGGAATGCAAACGCTAAATCGAAGTTGTCCGCGATTATGTCATGAACGTTCGGCGTTTTTGTAAATTATGCGCTTGCGGGAGTTTAAGACGAGTTAAAACTGGTAACTAGCAAACGTGCTGAATTGGCTGAATTAAAATTTTGGCCATATCAGCATTACTGATATTTTGAATTATGAAACTTTTTTTTAAATAATACTTTTCATTTGGACGGTGTCTTGAAAATATACGAAAAATTGAATCGTAAAATTGATTAAAAAGAATGTAAAACATTTTGAAGCATTTTTGGAGTGTTTTTGAGCAGGTGAATGTTACAAGTACTTAGGTATATAAAGCTTGCAAGTATTTTGTAGGTTAAATCATAGCCATCCCAGGAATACGAATATACGATGCCAACAAATGTATGATACCTCTTAAATTATAGCTGAATTTGATAGGTCGAGAGTCGACTTTATAATTGTACTTGATATATATAGGATTTTACTTATATACGACTTCGATTACACAGAAGAAACGAATATTATAAAATTTCACCATGTTGGAAATACATGTTTATTGCTTCAGGCGAGGGGATTTTGTAGTAGAGTAGTAGGAAGGTGTAGACAAAGAAAGAATCCATCAGGGAAATTAGTCATGAAAGTAAGGAAATAGTGCGGACCGAGAACAAATCCATTCGTCAAACTGGTTACCATTCATTTCTGGTTAAGTACGTTGATAAAACGTACCATCTCCAATTCGCAAGCTTTGAGGAATCAAACATCATGCAAATACGTTTAATTTCTCCCTTTGTGATATCATTAGCGAGATCTCCGTCGATCACAGCAATGTTTCACAGGAGTAACAACTTCATCCAAATTCATCCATCACCGCATACAATTTCGGTAAAATAAAAAAGAAAGGAAAAGAGAAATTTTCCTCCAAAAATCTGTCAGAAAATAACCTTTATCAAAAATGTCGAATACTGCACATTTGCCACTTTCACTCGTTTTACAGGATTCTGCTGAAATTCACTAACTTGTATCAAATAAAATGAAATTTTGGAAAGCTCTTCCGTAAGCAGCGCAGATGGATACACTAGAAAGAAACTGTCGCTGCATGTATGTCAATCAGTGAACTTTAAGAAAACGGGACGATAATGCGCATTTAGATTCCGTGGATGATTAAAAACATCTTTGACTTTAGATTGTAGTCCGCACTATAAGTAACTTATTTGTTTATTTGTACAACTCCACCAAGCGATGGTACAATTATAATGATGATAACGACCATGAAAAATGCGGACAGTCCACGCAATCGAAATCTAAATGCGCTTAGCTGTTAAAGTGCCTATACCATGTTTATTTAATATTTTGATATAGGTAATTGGAACCATATTGTAGTTCTTATATAGTTACAGGTTGATTTGTAACAACTGTCTGAATTAAACCAACTAGAGAAAAGGTTAGGACTTGTGTTTATGTGGGCAAAAGGGGAACGTCATGAGTAATTTATTGAAAAGTTAATTGCGAATTACCCTTAGTTACCCGTAAAAATAAAAATAACTGGATGGGGTAGTTGGGAATTTGTTGGGCAACCGCCAACCATGTGGTGTTTTTGAAAGATTTTTTTTTTAAAAGGTTTCATTTGTGTATGATGGAATTCTTCAAGAAACTATGTAGTTACGTGTGTAGTAATAGGTTGTGTATTGTTGCTGGTGTTCGAAATTAAAGTTATGCAAGGAGGTAGGTAAAAAAAGACAACAGAAGACAAGGAAGATAGGCAAGCGTGCGAATCAGTATCCCCGTACGCGGCGTTTCATCCTTTTGCGGACTCGCCAGCGGGGAGCAGGGTTGGCTTTCTGTAAGTAAAAGAAATATGAAGATAAAAAAGGAGTGAAAATAGTGTGTGTTCATGGCAGAATCACTGAATCATAAAAAATCAAACCTGCGTGGAAGTGTTCGTAAAAGGTAAAATTGTAAAATTAAACTGACAGTGTTGTTGTTGAACTTGGATAAACCAACGCGATAAGCCATCTTAAAGTTGTTCTGTTAAACGAGAGGAAATTAAACCAGAAATCGGCTTAAATATGCTTAAGAGCAGAGCTTGTGTTCGTTCAAGGAGCTTGATCGAAAAGAGGTAAGGGATTGCATTGGGTTGATTTGAAGTGTATCCGTGTGGTTGAACATTGAGGTTTTGTCCGAGGTTTTGTAAATCTGGTCACATTTACGGCAAAATTCTGCTAAGGATAAGTATTTGAAAAAAATTTTATACTTATGTCAGCAGGATGCCCAGGATGCCAGATTTCAGGTGACTGGTTAAGGTCATGTAGTTTTAGTTGTTTTCACAGGAGACTGCCACAAGGTTTGCTTGTCATGTGTTGGTTCTTGCATGTTCTCACTTGTTATCCAGTGTGTCCCAGTAAGTTCTTTGGTTTGTTATATCCACTCTGGTGTTTTCAAGGTGATATTCAGACACAATGTCAATTGGGAGTGGTTGAAATTTTGTATCTCTGTGTTAAGGGTTCAGGTTAAATTTTGCTGTGATAAGCGTGTCTCAAAGGTTAGTATTGCGTTGGTAGGCTACAATTGGAGGTTCTTGCCATAGACTCCTCAGTGTGGGGTCATTCTCCAATATGTTCCAGTGTTTACGTAGGATGTTTGTGTTGTTTGGAATGGAGAAAATTGGGCGGCTTGTGTTTTTCTGGTTTTGTTTCCTATTGAGTAGGTCTGTTTGAGTGTATTGTAGGGCTTTGTTGAAGTTAGTGGTGATAGTGTCATGGTCATATCCGCGATGGATCAGTGCAATCAGGAGGTGGTTTAGTCGTTGTTGTAATTTGTGGTTGTCTGTAATAATGCGTCTGTATCGTAGAGCCTGACTGTAGATGACTGCATTCTTGCATGTGGTGGGGTGAAATGAGCTCTTGTAATAGACATCGGCAATTCCAAATCAGTGTTCTTTCGTTTAAGTTGCACGAAATTCCGGATTTAACGTCATGTCCGGTAATATATTCAAAATCTGCAACCCTGGTGTAGGCACTTTAAAACCAGATCTACGTCAGCTTCATCGCAGCGGAAATAGAAAATACTTAGCTAATTTACCTTTTTGGCTTCTTACTCCTTCAACTCCAGGATCCAACTGATTCTGGATGCTATATATATCTTTAATATCATGATACGCAATGTTTTTAGAAAATGGTTATAGCCAGAGCGAAAGAAATCGAACCGCTTCGTACCGTGCGCAGTATATCACACTATAACACTATATTAATATTACCCACCTACAAAGTGCTCTTCATTTAGTTTAGAAATCTAAATCAACAGATGATGCACCGGTTCCTAGGTAATCCTACTGAAATTTTAAATAGATGCTAATACTCTACCTGAGAGTAGGGAGATGCGATATCAGACTTTACATCACGACATCCACATGATACCCCACATTGATGATGGACACACGCTTTCTGAGCTTGGTCAAAGATCGGGAGATGTTCCTGTATCAATTCAAAATATTCATCTTACAGTTAAAAATTCTCGTAAATAATTCCCAGTTAACTTTCTTTACAACCAGCCTAAACAGTATATAGGCAGTTCATTCATTGATAAGAAGTTAAAACAGTTGTTAATGAATTTTGCCTTGGCACACAAAACAGGTATTTTGAACGCTGATATATACCTTACATGTGTATGAAGCTAGAATTGTCCATTGGTAGTTGCTAAACTAAAGCTTGTTGACCGCTACATAATTAACGCATTTTGAATGCATGCAGTTAAACATGATACCAAGAACGATCAAACCGAAGTATGTCGCTAGCAAGAGAAGCTGAAGACCCGTTTACACTTGCGATTTTTGCTGCGTAATTATGTGCGAATTTACTTCTTTTGACAGATGTGGACAAGTGATTAGGTACGAATGCCCTGGTGTATAAGAACTCTTAATTGAACATCAGTAACTAATTCACTCGTTATCATCTATTAAAAGAAGAGAATCGCACATAAAATCGCAGCATAGATTGCAAGTGTAAACGGCTGGGTGTTAACATTTACATACATTCACAAACTTACCAGAAGCTGATCATATGCACCATGCCAATGACATCCTTCATTGGGACAACGCAAGACCAGACCTCGCAACTCGCGTTCAGTGAATCGATCAAGAAATAACTGACAGAGAATAATATACAAAACTGTTATAGCTAAGACCCGTTTACACTACAATCAAGACCCGTTCACACTAAACTCAATTTATTGGCACGGCACGGCTAAAATGGGTACCCGTACCGAATTTTATTAGTGTTCAGGCTACCTAAAGAAAGGCCGCGCACGGATGAAATGGGCACGATAACCTTCTACACCTTATACCCCACCTCATTATCAGCAGGTAGCCTGCACAACCTCCAAAAACCAGACTGGATCTTTCTTGCTGTAAATACCTCTGGGGCCGGTTGTATCAAACCCGTTTAGCTTAACGGTGGAAAAGTCAAATTTAAATAACACTCTTACATCTCTTTGAAATGAGTCAACTTGAATATTATGCACTGAATATTTGTAGTTTTAAAAAGTATCTTTGTATTAAGGTTAAAAACATTTAGTTTGCTTGTTGAATAAAACGATAGACTTAATTTGAACTTAACCACCGTTTAAGCTAAACGGCCTTGATACAACCGGCCCCTGGCTATCATGCAATGTCGTGGCGAGTATAAAGGAAATGATAGCACATGTTATAGTTGTTGGGAAAAAAGCGAAGAGCCGCTCTGCACGGATAACAAATAAAGCATTTTTATACAGGAATTGAACAGAAAGCGAAGACATGTGGCACACGGCCCATAAAAACAATTAAAATGAATAAAAATTGAATCAATTTCGAATTTGCAATTGTTGCCCTGGAAAAATATATTTATTGAATCAATTTCGAATTTTGAATGGTTGCCCTGGAAAAATATATTTACAAACAAATAAAAAAACATATTCCTAAACAAATGAAAAAACATATTTCTAACTACATGTTTTCAAACCAACCAACCTCCTTCATTTTCAGTTTTGTTCCATCTTCAGGGCATACTGGGTTAGGACACCTGAAAAACAAGCAGAAAAATTGGAGGATTATTGAATGATTACCCCATAAAATTTCAACTCAAACAAATAAGATAAGCGCGGTGTATTCTGGAGAGAATGTTTGGGAAGAAATATGTGAAGCAAAACATCGATTCATAGCAGCATGTTTAATGACATATTTTCCTACCTACATATGTTATTTGCGTTATCTAACAATATGCGATTATGACTGACACGTTGTTATGACTTGTTTAAAAAGGCAAAGAATTGGCTGGAAACTTTGTCGGGCATTAAGCTGTATTTTGCGAACTAAAATGATAAATTCGCCCGGCTGAAATATATTTTAGACCGCTGATCTAAGCCAATCAGAAGAATGACTGAAGTGTTTCCCATTGCATATTCTTTATACAAAAATTGTCCTTTAATATGTTAATATAATAGTAATACAGTTGATGTTCGCGGGCTTAAATGTGTTTTTGGCCCTCCTCAGAACACATTTCAGCACTCGCTACGCTCGGGCTAAAATGAGTTCAGGATCGGGCCAAAAACACATTTATGGCCGCGAACATCAACTCTATTGTTATACTAATGAGGATATATATACGAGTGGTTGCTACACTTCAGTCATAATAGCGACAATGCGTGCACTACAAGAACGATGAAGAGGTATGTAGTGCTGAACAAGAGCAGAGAGCATAAAACTACGTGGCTTCTACGACAGAATGTGGTGACCCACGGCTGCCATTACGTTATTGTACGAAAATAATACATTTGAAGCTAAATTTCCTGAGATTTTATTGGTTTACGAATATATTCTCCAAATAAAATGAACTCTCAAGTTCCATTTACAAGAGCATGCTGTATATAGTCACTATACGAATTACTACAATTAAAAAATCAACATACTCTAGCAGTGTGTCAACACAGGATGAACAAATTAAGTGACCACAAGTAGTCTGCATGGGTTTGATCAGCAGCAGTTTACACGAAGAGCAAATGAACTTTGGATCAATATTCTTACGAACTTCATGTGTTATCTTCATACCAGGCATGACTGCAAGTGAGAGATCAACTAGAAAGTAATGAAGGAAAAAGTTTCATTCATTTTCAATTGTTTTCATTTTCTAAAACAAAAAGTTGAAAATATCAACTACAATGTAGGAGTCTCAAGATTAAAACCATAGATATTAGAGAGGCATAGATTTTTATTATCATTTGTTCGATCTTGTTGGGCGAGTCGGAAACAATGCTGAAAATTATGCTTCGTATACAGAAATACGTTTAGTGAACATATTAACCCTGCGAAGTTCGCTTCCGCGTTATTCAAGATTACTGAAAAGAGGATATCACAAAATAGACTGGGAGATGCTGGATTCATCTCATGCAAAAATCTCAGCTAATACAGGACAGTGGTGAGTCCTAATCGTTAACCAGGGATCCAAAGATAGTGCAAAGTTTTCATGACGTCTAATAACTAAGCAACCAGACGTTTGTCGCAACAACAATACAGAATCAAGATTGACTTCGGACAGTAGAAGCCTAAAGAACCAGGTTAAACATAACCCTGATTCAAAAAGGAAGTATTTCGGTTGATCAATAACAAACAATTATTGGATGAGACTGAATATGATATCAAGAAATATTCAGACCAAAGTCACTGTTATCCGCCTCAGCATATCATGCAAAAGCCGAATTCAATAATTGTTTTATTTTACATTAATTTTAAAGACATCAGAAACGATTAAAGAAAGTTCATTAATGCTTATTCTATTTTATTAATGTTTATCTTATTTTCGTGCTCTTTACTGTTTGTGTATTTATTTTGATAAGATGACTTTAAGCCCACCATATTTTCAAAACTTGATGACTATGGTTGGGACAATTGATACCATTTTGAAAGAGAAATTAGGCAATAAAAACAGTGAAATAATGTTCATTTCATGAATACAATTCCAACCTTCATGTAAATAGTAACTTGCAAATACAATACTATGATATGTGAGAATATGGTGTGTATGATAATGAACATGAGTAATAGCTAGACAAAAGCATAACACAGGACTTGTATTTTTGACACCTGGGTACGGTACTGCAACAAGCAAAATGGCTCCAAAAAAGAATTGTATACTTCTGTATGCATTGCCATGGATTGTCAGCACTCAGAGGAGTCTGCAAACTGATTATGCTTGTAGGGAAATAGTTGAACCATGGTTAAATTTAGTTAATTAATGATTATGTCTCCATGAATTTTTTAAAAGTTTCATGAAGACAAAAAAATACAAATTGCTAAAAAATCCAACTTTTACTACAATTGTGGAAAACAGGAATGTGGGGAGAAAACATTAGTCAGTTATTATCTAAAGCTGAAGTACTTCGGTTCCTGGTTGAGAGCCTGATTGAGATGGATGCTACAAAGTCTAATGGTCTTAGTATATATCTAAGGAATAAGGAATATTGACTAAATCAGGTAGACCATTAAAATGTGACAGAACAGAAAATGGATATATAACTTGAATGGAACATATATACTGTATATAAAGTGCATACCAATGCATGTAGACCATTAAAATGTGACAGAACAGAAAATGGATATAAAGAATTAACTTGAATGAAACATATATACTGTATATAAAGTGCATACCAATGCATGTGGACCATTAAAATGCGACAGAACAGAAAATGGATATATAACTTGAATGGAACATGTATACTGTATATGAAGTGCATACCAATGCATGTAGAACATTAAAATGTGACAGAACAGAAAATGGATATAAAAAATTAACTTGAATGGAACATATATACTGTATATAAAGCGCATACCAATGCATGTGGACCATTAAAATGTGACAGAACAGAAAATGGATATATAACTTGAATGGAACATATATACTGTATATAAAGTGCATACCAATGCATGTGGACCATTAAAATGTGACAGAACAGAAAATAGATATATAACTTGAATGGAACATATATACTGTATATAAAGTGCATACCAATGCATGTGGACCATTAAAATGTGACAGAACAGAAAATGGATATGTAACTTGAATGGAACATATACTGTATATAAAGTGCATACCAATGCATGTGGACCATTAAAATGTGACAGAACAGAAAATGGATATATAACTTGAATGGAACATATATACTGTATATAAAGTGCATACCAATGCATGCGGACCATTAAAATGTGACAGAACAGAAAATGGATATATAACTTGAATGGAACATATATACGTACTGTATATAAAGTGCATATACCAATGCATGTGGACCATTAAAATGTGGCATTACTCACAGAACAGAAAATGGATATATAACTTGAATGAAACATATATACTGTATATAAAGTGCATACCAATGCATGTGGACTGGATGTTTGCTTGATGCATTCTGTGTATAAATGCACTTTAAGGCACAAGTCAAGTAAAAGTGTGCAGTGCAAGTGGCAAGTGACTTCTAAAATGTTTTGCATCTTTTATCTTGTGACTTTGCAAATACTTGACACTTTTGAGTAAATGATTATATTGCCCTCGATCAATCAATAAATATTTACCGTTTATCTTATGTGATTTAAACATCTTGACGTTTTGAGTTGAGAGAGTACAGTATCAGTAATAATGGAAGGTCTTAATCGTAGTCTATTGCAACAAATACAGACGTTTTCTTGTATATTTTGGGAATAAATTATTAAAATAAATAACTAAATATAACATGCACTATAGATACTTACTCAATATCAGCAGATGGCGTCTAAATTTTAGACAAAAACTGTTCTATAAACAAGAAATATAGGTTCTCGAATTTCGAACCTTCCTCGTTCAATACCGCGGAAAAACGTCTGCGCACGCGTCAACTCTGCCTGTAAGTGAGATTAAAAATAATTAAGAAGCGGTTCCGAACGTTTCCGAAGGCTAAAAATGGCGGTAAAAAGGAGTGATTTCATTCGTGTCTTCAAATCCATATTTTGAGGGCATAAATAAACACTGCATTATAGAAACTAAGAGAAAAAACGTCCAGAGAGTCCTAGAAGTGGCATCCAACAAAAACACCGGTAAAAGGTGACTGTTAACAAATTTTTCGTCTCAAACATTTTGTTTATCAAATAAGCAACGACAGTTTCCGAACTTTTAATTGAGACACGTTTTATTAAAAAAAAATATGTCGCCAGATACGTGACGTTTACGTGTTTTCCATGATTGAAGATTAAGATGTATTTTACAATTTAAATAGCCCCGGGTTTTCTTAACTTTTAGGTTTAAACTTTTGTTTTCGAAAAATATTCTAGAGCCACCCCGTAAAAAAAGGAAAATTTACCGTGAATTCCAGTTCGTTCGATACTCTAAATGCTAGAGGGCTTTTAATTTATGTTCTGTCTGGCCGTCTTGTATATTTTTGCCTTTTCTTAACTTATATTTTATCAAATAATGGGATGTTTTGTTCCAAAAGTTGATATTTAGATTTACCATCATATTTTGATATTTCGGCGCGTGCGCAGACATTTTTCCGCGGTGTTTCCTCGCTCAGTAAGAGAAAAACAAATCTGAGCATGCGTAGTGGGTGGCATCTGTGACATGTGATCAGTGCCAGTGACTGCCACTGGTCAGGCTTCACTCTTCAGTTTATGGCTTCTTTTTTGTTCAAAATGTTCTTTATCGTTTTTTTATTAGCAGGAATGACCTATTTCGACCGATAAGTATTTCTTAAGTAGTTATATAAGTAGTTCTTTTTTAATCAGAGATTACCATATGAAAGAAAGGTATGTTTGGGGTGGATGTATTATTTTTAAAAAGGTTGTCGACTCCTAATTATTGTTGGTGACAAGATTGTCTTTTGATGGGGAGGTTATTGAATATTTTTTTTATTATGCACAATCATATCACAAAATTGAAGCCCTTTCCCTGGAGATAGAACTTTTTCACTTGCTTATGGTCTTGCACTCTGTGCAGTATTGATGTAAAAATATACATAGTATTGCATATGAAGGTGTGCAGTGTTGATGGAAAAGATTATACCCGACATAGTTCGAATGTGCATGTGCAGTATTGAAATTAGAAAAAAATCCTCTTCACCACCCAATTGGAAAATTATATGAAACATAGAAACAAATAGTAGTAACTATACAGTGGGGCCTGTGGGGTGGTGTATTCAGCACTGAGAGAGTTTTGACCATTTCTGTATAGCATATACATAGCAGCAAAATATTAAAATTGCATGTATTTACCCGAAATTTCTGTGATGGCTATTTCAACGACAACTTATTTTTATTGACAAAGGCCAATTATAGCAATTCCTGAAAAAACAATCTTCTTATAGGAAATCCAAATTTTACATCTTGGACCAAGACAGAGACAGAGGGTATAAAACGCCCCAAAACCCCGTTTGGTTTTGCTCGAATACCTATATATCCATATTTCCGTAAATACCAGCTAATAGCTGTAACCAAACTTTAACAAAAAAATCACTTTTCATAACACAAGAATGTATTATATGAATTGTATATGTTGTAAAAATTATATGGTAATGTAATAATATTGTAATTATACAACAATGTGCAGACGTTTAGTGGGTCATACCCTAATGATCACAACTTTGTCTAAATGTTGTGTTAGTTTGTCTTTCAGAACTTTCAGATATTTCAAATGTTTATATGATAAATTATTTTATTGGGTTACCGTGTTTGCTTGCAAACACATTTTGTATTAACTGTAATAATGAAGTCATGATGAATACCAGGTGTGACCACTGAGTTATATTATAACTCAGTGGGTAATGGTATGACTTAAAACTTTTGCACATTATGTCATTTAAAATATATCCCAAACTAAAGCATCATTATGTACGTGCAAATTGTTATTACAATATCCTGCATGCTAATAATACGTAAATCTAGCTTTAATTAAGTTAAAAGTAAAACAATGCGTATAAAATCGCCAGAAAGTTTCATGCCTTTTCTAAGGCAGTCATAAAGCGATTCTAATCGAGTTCGTTGTATCCTTCAAAATGTTTTTAAATGGAGCTAGAACAAATAATGGGTAACTAACGATGGCTGACAGCTGATTATGCTTCAATTAGGCTTGACAGCATGATGATTTAACTTGTAAACCGCTAATATTACATCACGTAAATGCTTTTCATCGGCCCATCAGTGTGGCGGAGAAAATTTCCTCCTGTATAGAACATTATATGTCGAGTTACCCATTATTCGTTGCTCTCTTAATTTTGATATACAGGTCGTCCCAAAGAACCCAAAACTATTGAATTCCCCTATTGTTGGAATTTAAATGCCCTAGGTTTTTTAGTAAATTTTTTATTGTTATTGTTATTAAGATTGTCAAATAAAATTTGTTCATGTGGGTTTAAATTTAAAAGCAAGGAAAATTTGATTAGGTTTAGAACACACGCCCGTAGATTTTAGCTTTTTTGTCGGATATAGAAATAATGATTTGTCCACTCGTGAGTTCAGAGCATTCAAAATCTAACAATAGTTTATTTCAATAGTTTGGGGGGACACCCTAAAAAGGCTAGTCTTTGAAATTCTAACTTGGAATTTTCTGGCAAGCGCAGGCCATTAAATCAAAATACTTTTGGCTAACCTAAGTTTTAAGAATAGGCCTTTTTTGAAGGATATAGGTATTATAGCCAGAGAGTGTATCAATTTATAGTAGACCTTGTGAAATTAACCTAATTGTTACACGTTTTTTGGCTGAATATGCGTTCACGGTACAATGAACGTATAGTTGGTGCTTAAGGCTAATTGAAATGAAGCTTTATTGATTAAACCTGGTTCTCATAAAATATTCATGCAGTAATCACCGACGATAGGCATCACTGACTATCAGTGATCTACTGCATGCATGAGAACCGGACTTTATCCAGTCCAGCCGATGAATTGTTGCTGACTGAAGACGAAAAACTGTTTTCAAAATAGCAAAGTATTTCATTCATCAGTAAATGTCGGTGAGATAAAGAGAACCAGCCTTAAGGGGCATAAAATGCAGCTTCAAAACACTAGGTTAATCTCAAAAGGTCGACTATTTTAATACACTCCCCAATTCACAGCTATTCCACGATGATCTTGATTATCATAACATCTTTCTTTACATGTTGACGATGCTTTAAACAATCAATAGGCATGAACAATGGGTAACCTGATCCCACATTCATATCAGACTCGGGACGTTGGAATGATGAGCTTTCTGGATCAGCATGAAATGTATCAACGACGTGATTACCATCACCCGCTTGATTCATTAACATCATGGTGATTTTTTTCTGAAATGGCCAAGATTGGCGTTCGTCGTGGTCACCTTAAATTAATATCCACAAAAAATGCATTAGAAATTATCATGTAAGTACTTAAAAACATAAGCAGATAAATTAGACAAATCACTCTTTAATTATAATTTAGAAGGGCTGATTTATGATTTATGTAGCCTATAAAGTCTGAAAAAAAAACAAAAAAAGGAAGTCGGTTTTTACTTATCCTGCCCTTTCTGAACTCCCGCGAAAATAAATCGAAGGTATTTTTTAGGAAACCAACACCATTTGAATGTGTTGATATTTCGTACAGAATTGCAATTTAAGTTACTGAATCTTAAAAGTGGTAGAAACATTCTCCGACGGCTGCGCATGTTCTATTAAAATAAATTAAATAATATAATCCAATCAGTTGCGTAGGCATCAGGGGAGGGAGCACAGCATGCACGTGCCCCCAAAATATTATTGTAAAATCGAAGGTGCTCTTTTTGTTTCCTATACGTATGCCCACCTACATGTGCCCAAATATTTTTGTAAGGATAAATATAAACCACACTATATAGTGGCGTCCTTGCAGCTTTCGCAATCAAAAGTGCCCCAGAAAGCTGGAGGCATTCCCCACCCAATCTCTGATGCTTCCTACGCCCCTGTAATCAATCATCTAGGTGAGAGCACTGTGGTGAACCCCTAATGCAGTTCATATACGATAACTATGAAGGCATAAACACGAAGTGAAATTATTAAAGTTTAACTAACCTCTCATCACAACAATAAACAAAGATAAATGAGACATTTCTCCTAATCCGTTGCCGTTGAAGTAGATTTTTGCGCACATTTTGTAGCCAAACTGAGCGCTGTAGAAGTGTGGACTGTACAAGACGGCCCTTCTTCCATTGATCGCATCCTCTCGCTTCCTCTCATAGCCCTCAATCTTCCACACCAAGGTACCGTTCCGTGTCTGCGTAATTCAGAAAAGTATGCAAAAGATAATTAAAAAAACTCAAAGTCTATTAGTTATTATGTTCTTTCATGCAGCAAAACACCACTAGCAATGACAACGTTAACCCTCTTCAGTTTTATATATCTAATTTATATAATTTATATAATGCATGCTGCACCATTTGTGCAGTGGCGCCCGACGCCAGTGTTGGCTTTGTATAGATAGATATTTCAACGCTCTATACACAGTTTATTTGAATAAAAACAATGAGAACCAACAAGTTTCACGAAAGGCTTTGCCTCGAGCCCCCATTGCCTGCGAAAATTTTTCGTTAATCTATTGATCACACAACTCACACAGCCATGCAATTCTAAAGGTAATAACTAAGCATTTCCCTCGTTGACTTTACGAAACTGGAATTAGGATGACGAAAAATTTGTTGCATTGGTCACGCTAAATACAGCAGTCATCACCTCATCGTGGTTGTAGTCCATAGGATGAAATTCGTATTCTCCTGTGATCACTTCACACACAACCTTTTGTCGCTCAATATCCATTCTCGATGATTTAAATTTGCAAATTGCAAGAACACTCTTACACATTGTACTTGTATGAATCTAAAATAATAGTAATCATAAATAAAAAAAATCATGACGATCAGCGCCACTGATCTAATACTTAAATTTGTCCTGTTTTTGGAATGAAATTATAACGGTAATTTACAGACGTTCTACATAGGACGTAATAAACGACGTTTTGCCGTTGTAAACAGAAGGTAGATAGATCACGTCCAAAACTCCCATGTAGGGTTATAATAATTCATTTCTTTTCAGTGAAGCATTGAATTAATGGCTGCCGTCGTCGTGTTCCCGTCCTAAATGCTTAAGGTCCCTATTAGCTGTGCTAGCTAAAGGCCTCGTGAGGCTGTTAGCTCAGCAAGTTACTCTCACGGGTGCAAATAGTTTTTCGTAGGGAATTCGCCTCGAGAGGCAAGTTTCTCACGTGTGCAGATGGTTTTCGGGCTGAGCTAACGGCCTCGCGAGATGGATAGCTCAGCTGGAAGCTCTCGTGTGCAGTGAGCTTAAGGTATGAGGCTACATGCGCTAATTGCATCTGCAATAAAAAGCATCCCCTCCGGTCCCTATTGGTTTTTCATTTCCTCCATGTATTGCTTAATTAATATTTCTATATTTTCAGTTTTATTAAACTCACTTGAATGTCATTATAACATCCAAACCAGCCACAGCTAGCATCAAGACAATGAAAGTTCAAGTCTCCGAGTTTGCGTTTAATAAATTTATCCGGGAACAGCTGAAAGAGATTATGTCCTCACTTAATGCATGCACTACTTCGAATAATTGTATTTTGGATTCAGGGGACTGTATTATTAAGCAAAAATTACGCATACAAAATACTTTTGCATGTTTTACAAATTCGTGAATATTTAATAGAAATTTTAGAGTTAAAATCAAGTCCGTTCTGCGCATCGCCATCGGTTAAACCTTAAGCCCGCCGCACACTTGAGCTATTAGCCATGAGCTAAAGACCTCGCGTGGCTGTTCTCCCCGAGAGGCAAGTTTCTCACGTGTGCGGATGGTTTTCGGGCTGAGCCAACTGCCTCACGAGGTCGTTATCTCAGCTGATAGCTCTTGTGTGCAGCGGGCTTTAATATAACCTAACCGAACCTATAAAAAGTGTGCATGTTATAGCCACCATGCCGTATTTTAAAAAGGCGAAGTTAAAACCGTTCGTTTCCATACGGACTTAATTTTCACTTTATACTTAAATATTTTGCCCACTTTTATTTGTGAGAAAGAAATATCGATTGAGCTGGGTATTAAATAAAATGAACTTAAGCTATCAAGTTCAACAAAAAAATTGTTGTTCTACAAAGTTGTGTAGCCTATATCGTCATGACTGTCATGCAAACAAACTTTTGGAGAAAAAATATAGTGATCGAGAAACTTACTTCTTCCTCCTTGAGTTTTGTTCCATCCTCTGGGCATTTTGGGTTTGACCAACTGAATAGGAATAAAAAAATATGCAGAATATTTGCAATGGCAGTGTTTCATGCATATTTTGGATCAATTTATAGGTATAACAAGGAATATAAGCCAACAATAACAATTGTCCTCGATATCAGGGGAAACTCGCGTACCTTAGTACTATCTGAACACAAGTTTTACAAATCAAATGCCCGCAGTCGGTCTGAATAGGATTTTTCAACAGCAGTTTGCACAGAGTACAGATCAATGCCTGTTCAAGGTTCTTTTGATCCTCATCAGTGATCTTTATGCCGGGCATTATCGTAGCTAAATATTTCACTGAAAAACAAAAGCAGATTATGGATTATGGATTGCGTTCATACGAAAAGAATTATCATTCTCCTTTGTCAGGAATGATTCCTGACAAAGGAGGAATGTGAGAACACTTTAGTATGCAGGTACAAAAAAAGCCATATCCTTCGGCCCTCCACTCCAGCTGTGAAAATCTGGATGGATTTCGAATTCTTTACCGTTTTGATTTCGGTTTATATAGCAAATTTCGTCCAAGCTCAAACGGCATATATTTTTTCGCGTTTTTTCGCGTGTCAACGATGCCGTTTAAGACCATCTAACGCTTTCCTCGGAAGATACGAACGACTAAATTAAATTGAAACATAAATTTATTAGTGTGATTGGCCATCAAAACGCGAAAGATACGCCCATTGACCGTTGGAATTTTGCACTGCAATTCGTTAAACTTTGCACCTAGTTACCTTCCGTTCAATTTCTTAAACGTCATGTTTGAAACGTGAAAAAACACGCGGTGTTCGCGGTTTCCGAGTGCAGGAAAATTGCTGTATAATATGTGAACTAGCATAACAGCGAATGGACGACTTGCGCTTTAGACTAATTTTTGATTGAAGTTTGGCGCGAGTCGTCCATTACGACATGCAAATTGCGATGAATTATGACGAATAGACAGATTCTGCCATTTCAATGTTCATTGTTACTTTTGAGAGATGTTTATTTGGCAGTGCATGGGTTTGCAATAATATTGTCGTCAGAACTCGTTGCAATGCGCCTATACATACATATATATATCACATTGTGTTTCGACAAGAAATCACATGTGTCAAAAGTACACAATTATACGTAATTTATGTATATATTATTATATACATAAATTGCATATATTATATTATGATATATAAGTTCATAATTATGAAAATCAGCATTTCCCACGAATTATGATGAATATGTCATATGTAAATTAACCCTCCAGTTAGGGAAAACACCTCTGCAAAAAGGGCAAATTTGCATACGGGGAAACCCCTCTGTTTCCTCGTTAATAATTTTCCCTGTTGCAATTAGCATTATATTTAAGGATATTTTCTGGAATTACTGGTTTTTATCATATTGGAAACCTTCCAGCGAACTGTTCAATAAAAATGACGCCACAGCACAAAATGTTTAAAGTTAAAATAGCGAATTACCGATGATCTACTCCATGCAGCAGGTTGTTATCAATGCTGCAGTCTGCTTTCATTTAAACTACCCTAGTACAATTATTTATCATAGTTTGTGATAAAATACTGTCAAGACAATATACAAGCTTCATGCACAAACTATAATCCTGGTGCGTGCCACTGTGCTGGTAGTAGCTATATCAATAACGAATTGAATTATGACGAATTACGGATGATTATGAGACGAGCAAAAAATGCGTACTTTCATGCATGTTATCGATGAGATATATGTATTTGACACATCACAAGCACAAATTGCACAAATTATGATGAATATACAGTTTTGACGACAGTTAAGCTAAGTACAGACATACCTTGATAATTCTTAGAAAGGATGATCTCACCATATACTCAAAACGGGCCAAACAAGATTCCCCGTAATCGGAAATATTTCAGGCAAATTTGTTGTTGCTGACAGGGGCTTTGTTTTAAAGCAATCAGTAATGACGTTTTCAGTCACCCAATAAGAATACATAAAATATGGACTATACTTCCGGTAAAAAGGTACATTATTTACCGTTTTACATGAAGTATAAATATTTTAGGCATTCTAATTTGCTATAGTACTACACGGCTAAAAACTCTGCGCCTGCGGTTTATCAACATGCAACAATGTTGTGCTGCCATTATTGTTCACACTTGTCAACAACATTGGACAATACTGTTAAAACTGAATCGGGTGTAACAATATTGTTCAATGTTGATGACAACTCTAAACAATATGGGCAGCACAACATTGTCCCATCTTGTTCATATCAATATTACATCAACCTGATCGTTTTTAGGCGTGTACAAATGGTGTACTATACAACGTGGAAATAGAAGTGTAATTCTAAAAAGCCCCCGAACGCAAGTAACCTCCAGTAGCCCATGAAGACCACGCTGGGAAATCCCGCACAAAACAACGTCGGCCGTTATTTAAAGGTGTGTTGGCCAAGAATGGGAGCTAGCCCGTATAGCAATCGAAAGGCCATGTCTAATAGACTAACTTTTGATCGAAGTAACTAGAGGAAAATAAATCATCCCAGCTAGAAAGATCTTACTTAAATTAGTAAAACCGCCAAGTTTGCATGGCTACGAAATTTTTGTAGAACAGGGAAAATATAGCCATGCGAAGTTGGCAAATGTTGTATACTTTTGTATTACGTGCGGAAATGTGTAACTAATTTAGTTTAGTAACAAACTTCCGGTCGTAATACAAAAGTATACAAAAATCGACAACTTTGCATGGCTATATTTTCCGTATTTTACAACAATTCGCAGTGAAACTTGGCAGTCTTGCTTATTTTAGTAAGCTCTTTCAGAAAATGGTAAGAAATTAGTCTAAAGCGCAAGTCGTCCATTGGTTGTTGCTAAACAATGTCATGTCATGCTCAATTGTCATGTCATGCATAACGATGCCTTAATTATCATGCATTAACTAGTTTGTTAAAGTTATTAATTTGTAATACATGTATAACAATACCTGGTTATTGACTACCAGCCGATTACAAACCGTGTTCCGATCGGTACGCGATAACTGAAAAATGGACGCGAAAGTGAAAGAGCACAAAAGACGTCACGCATGCCAAGACAGCCAAGTCACGGGTAGTTCCTCTCATAATCAATAGCTGTGGCACAGTCACACTTTTTGATTACTATTCTCGTTAGGCAGAAGCAAAATCATGACATCACCCAACATCTTGGCGTGGCTTGACAAAGTTTTTGCAACCCACGGGTATCCAAACAGATCAAATCCGACAATACATCATTTCAAATCATCTGAATTCTTTCAACAAAGTTCTCTTGAAGCACATTACATTAGTGCCACTCCTCGCGGATCCACTGGAGAAACACCATCGCATTTGCACATGCAGCGCGAATAGAAAACGAAACTACCATCGATATCCCCAGTAAAAAAATAATCACAATTTAACGACTTCGACGTTCAACGTGCTGATAACAAATTACATTTCGTTTTCAAGGACAAGCTAGGACTATTTTACCGAAGAAACTCGGCATGTATAGAAGTCTTACATGAGGTTCCAACTGATGAAGAAATTGACAATGACATCGTAAAACCAATGTCAACCATGCAGTAGAAGAAATACCCCCACATATGTCCCACCAAAAGGATCATCTCGTAATCGCAAAGTATGCACAGGAGTTTTTTCAAGCTGGCTACAAGTAAGTTTAAATAAGAAACGATAAAGCAAGAAACAGACAGGAAGGAATGTAATTTATACACTTAATGTATGCTCCCGAGAGAAATGGTCAGTTTTGTTTCCGAAGAGTCTAACGCCTGTATTCTAAAAGCTCACTCGCACTCAAACTCATTGAGTAGGAAACTTCTCATAACGTTTCCATGACGTTATTTTCAGTCGAACAGGGGCTTGATTTTAAGTGTTTTACCTTAAATCCGTTTCCACCTATTCAGAAAGAACTTTCTTATTGACCAGCATTAACAAAATATTTATGTCACACTCAATAAGTATGAGTGTGTGAGTATGAGTGAGCTTTTTGAATAAACGTGTAGATGTTTCCAAAGACGAAGTAGAGGTGGTGTACATTAAGTATTTTGTTATATAGGAACAAAAACATACATGTTACACAACAATTTCATTAAAAAAACAACAATTTACTTTTTTATGACAATATGCGGGCAACAATTTTTCACTTGTTTCTCTGGCGGGAAACATTGCATTTATTTAAAGTCACGTGACTACGAATGAACCAATCACATTCAAAGTACACCGCACCTATATACGTAATTGTAAAGTTTTGTTTTCTTCTGCGGGGGCTAAAACTTTAGATACATGATATCTAGCTAGCAACACCTTCTGACATTAGATACAATAAAATAGGAATTTTCCTCTTGATATATAGTTGCATCGGTAGTCATGGTTTATATGGCTATTGGACGGAGAAAATGTTCACCAATGGTTATGACCTGTGGATAGAAAAGCTAGTAAAAGATAAAAATGAACAAGCTGCTATGTATTTTATGATTTTATAACTGTATATTAGATATGTTTATGATCAAGTTACAAACAAGTAATAAGTGTTCTATACCGCATGCTTTAATTATAATACATAAAAGTGTAATAACATAATTGCATTGCTTAAAAAAAATCACCAATACTTTACCTAGCCAGGCTAGGTTAAATTAGGGATATACTTCATTTAAGCCGATCTAAAAAGTTTCCCTGCATAAAACTATGATACAGAACTTAACTGCGGTCGAAATTGTTCTTCCAAGTTGTTTGATAGATCATTATATTAACTATAATAGTAGAAGATTAACTATAATAGTAGAAGAGTAATAGAGTATAATAAGCAAATACTTTAGCTTTATATTGTAGCACATAAATGCTAGTTACTCAAGCATTACAATGATTTAAGTCATCACCCAACCTAATCTTCACCTTTAACTAAAAGTCCGATCACGGGCCGGTTGTTCGAAAGGCGTTTAGCTTAAACGGTGGAAAAGCCAAAGTTAATTTAAAAATACTCTCATAGATCCTGTGAATGACCTAACCTGCATCTTACGCATTTAATATGTACTTCCATTGACAATTAAACTATTTACATCGAAATATTTCAGTTCAGTTGCTCAATAAATAGATGATTTTGTTTTCCATTTTTAACCTATCCACAGTTTTAAGCTAAAGGCCTTTCGAACAACCGGCCCCAGTTGGCTAATATTTATTCTACAATGATTTTGATGAAGAGAGTATCGTCCCTTATATATTGACGATTATCCAGGCTATCGATGGGCATAAACAAGGGTGATCCTGACGCGATATTCATTTCGGAATTGGGGCATTTAAAAGACGAACTTTGAGGATCAGAGTGAAATGCATCAATCATGTGATCTCCATTACCTTGATCCAAGAGCATCATGGTAATTTTCTTTTGAAATGGCCAAGATTGAAGGGCGTCATAATCTCCTTTGAAAGGCATAAAAATAACAAAGAAATTAGCTCTCTATAGCAAAGTAAAGCAATCATGACTATCTAGGGAGAAACGTAGGCAATTAGTCGCTTCTACTGTATAGTAAGAAAATCTCTATAGCCAGATAAACGTGCATGTATATGGAGTCACGTGTTTTATAGCTAAATGCATGCACGTTTAGTCTTGTATAAAGGGGGTGTTTTCATGTTAGCTCTTGTTGCAGCAAAACTAAGCATAAGCTAAAATAATTTAAATCCAACTAACCTTTCATGATAACAAAAAAGAGTGATAGATGAGATCCTTTTCCAAAGCCATCGCCATTCATGTAGATTTTAGCGCACATCTTATAACCATACTGAGCGCTGTAGAAGGATGGACTATACAAGGACGTTTTCACCCCATTTATGGCATCTTGTCGTTTCCTCTGGTAATTATCAATCTTCCACAGCAAGGTCCCGTTGCGACTGTGAATAGGCTGTTGTGCACGTGGACCACCTCGTGATTCCAAGTCGGCAATCTTCACCGTATTAAGAGCAAGAGACTCGTCCGCTTGATCCATCCTGCTTCGCATCCGTTCCAATTGCAAATTCTTTTCTTTCAATTTGTTCTCCAGGATCAAATTGCGTTCACGTACCCCGCATAGTTCACTGGCAATATCAGAAACCTTGCGCTCGAGATCACGGAATTTATTGCTCATCCTTGTTTCACTGTCACGACTGGTTTCCAAACTCTCAATTCTTCCTTCCAATTCAGTAAATTTGCCGAGTTCCGTGTCAAATTTCTCAGTCACGCCGGAGCGAATCTCGGAGATATCATCGTTGAATTTCTGAACGGTGCCAGTAAGTTCTTGTCGTGGGACGTAGCTGCTTAGTTGGGTTTCAAAACCAAGAGTAAAATGCAATAGTTGGGTAACATGGCTAGTCAAAGAGTCGTGCATGTGCTGGGGAAGTTCACTTCGTTTCAAAGCCTAAACAAAGCAAATAATTCGTTAAAGAAAAAACTTTCTGCCTTTTTCAATTTTATTTTTAGATAGTTTTTATAAGAAGATTGCTGGAATGTGATTAGTTCAGAGGAATACAGTAGTTTCATTAATTCTATATCTTCTGTAATCTTTGGCAATTGCTGCAATTTCATTGACTAAGAGGAGTGCGATTTCAGAACCAAACGTGGAATAATATTTGCATATAAACTAAACAGCCTGCATGTATTATGACAAAGCAATATAAATTGTTTGAGACCTTCACGAGCAGCGAATTATTTTTCGTTTAGTGAATACTCAGTATGGATTTTACGTTTGAACGCGCCTTGATCTTGTACGATGAGTGAGCGCTGCATTGAACTACGTGTCATTATTTCCTAGAAATCCCCTATCGTATGAATCCAGAGTAATAATAGTGTTGGCTTACACCAATAGTGTTGCTGTTATGTGATTTAGCTCTGGATACCGCATAATAATTATTTCATATTGATCAAACCTTGAAAAGTAACAAACTATTACCTTGTCAGGTTTACAACCCAAAGAGTGGAATTCGCATTCTGTTGGTACCTCTCCACACACAACTTGTTCGTGACTTTCAATATCCTTTTTCAGTACATTTTTTTTGCAGAATTTGCAGGTTACGGGCACACCCACACAGACTGTAGAAACGTGAACCTAAATAAAAAACTACCTCATGACTACTTGCATTGGGGGATGGCATTTGGGGCTCTTAAGCACGCAATAATTAACAAAGGTAACTGAGTTCCTGACCAGTTTTTCACAGCTGAAAATTTAATTCTAATGTTCCTCACAGACCAATGATATATATTTCCTTGTCTTATATCGATATTAATATAATTTTGTAAACCAACATCGTTGTAAAAGTTTATCTCATTGTTCTGGGGGCATCTTTTTAAGTTGAGTAAATTTCACTCTCCCCAGACTCCCATCGTTTCCACTTACTTGCGGTAACTGTCACACTTAAATCTTACCTTAAGAGAAGCAAATGAAACATCTTGTTGGCAATATTCACACTTCACGTTGCGATATTTGCACTTATCTTTCTCATGTTTGGGAAGATTGCCGCGTTTTAACTTCATCTCGCATCCAGAGCGAGTACATTTTATCCAAGCATGATCACAGACGTCAGAATGACTCTTTATCGAAATATAATTTTTATGTTATTAAGTCATTATTTCGGTGATAAAGTTTTCAAATGAATATCAAAAGTCACTCAAGTCAGTCAAGATTACACGAGCCTCAAGAAAATTCCCCTGTTTCGCTTTTAACTTCCCCATGAACCTTTTATTAATATTGAAAAACTCACGTCCAGCTGAGAATAAGTCCCATTCCAAAGACATCCCGTATTAGGGCAGTGCAGAGGCAAATCCCCGAGCACACGATTGTTAAATGTGTCCGGGAATATCTGAAAGAAACTGACTAGGATCAGTTACGTTGCTCAATTGCCCTACTATGATAAGGATATAAAGGCCGTAGAACCCAAGATTCGTAAAAACTCACCTCCTCTTTTTTCATTTCCACTCCATCTTCTGGGCATATTAGGCGTGAACCCCTAACATAATGATATAATTATAAGGAAAATAAACTCCTGCAGCCAGCGTCGCTTAAAGATGTTGAAGTGCTCAGGTTTCTGTTACAGACCTTATAATTGCTAATAATTATGATATTCAAATGAATAATTAATGAGTCGGGTTGTGAAAAAGCAAGCGTGCTTTTAAGGACCTAGATTCTCGCGTTTATAATTTTTCCCTGGTTGTGACGTCATTTAATTAGATGATCTAAGACAAGGTAACTAGATATTTCAAGAACTAAGCTGGATATGAAAAATTGGGGATAAAAGTTAATATATAGTTTCCAGAGTTCTTTAAATAAGACAAACTTATTTTTTATTGCTAGTTTCTTTAAGGTGAAGAATTTATCCCAATCAGTCTATCAAATCTTGTACAGTATTTATTGTACTTATTAAAAAATGAACAATTTGAAAACAAGAGTATCTAGCAAACACTATCTAAGATGACAAAACGACAAACGATACCAATATCACTATGTTAAAAGAACACTTCAGTTAAATTTGGTCAAAGATAAATCCTTCCAAAAATAAATCCTTATAAAGCCCTACGTTGAGGAACTTTGGAATAGCAGCGTACGTTATTGTTTCGATTTATGGGCATTGCCTCACAGCAAACGAATTATTCGCCGTCAAATGAATGTCAAAAGTCACATGCAGCATTAAAATCAAGAAGGAAATTTACATACTCCAGCAGTGTGTCAACACAGGATGAACAAATTAAGTGTCCACAAGTAGTCTGCATGGGTCTTGTCAGCAGCAGATTACACGAAGAACACATGAGTTTAGGATCAATTCTCTTACGATCATCATCTTTGATATTTATTCCTGGCATGATTGCAAGTATTATCAACTATATAAACATTAAAAATGATACGGTTATTTCGAGTATTTTCCTCATCATACTCAGCATTTGAAACTATATTATATTACCATATTATATTATTTGGTAATATTCTTTTCTAACTAGGTTACCAACCATGCGTATAAATGCAACCTGAAAGCATGATTATGATCATGCAGACTGATGCAGTGTTTTTGGATTGTAGATATTGTTGCTTATTTCTATCACAGTTATAGAAACACGCGTGGGAGTTTGGGAGAACGAGTAATAATCAGTGGGAAAACGAGCTCGTAGGGCGAGTATTGCAATTTTGCAATATTGGTTTAACACCTAGCTTGTAGTTCAGCTACTACATATAACAATTTATTGTGTCGCGACGCGAAATAACTGCGTGGCTAGAGGAAATCTCTGACGAAAAGTATTATGTTTTCTGTATATTCAAAACATGCGTTACATGACGTCATTATCCGACCACATTGCATGCGGGTACAAGTGAGTGATCGAGATTTTTGCGCCTAATGTATAGATCTTAATCTAAAAACGTATTTAGGAATAGCAAACACGAACCGCAAGGGGAGCAACCAGGGCCTTCATTTAAGGGGGGAGTTTATTATTATTTAAAATTTCTTTACACGAGGTAGCCTACATGCATAATTCAGTATTCTTGAACTATGTACACAACTGCTTTTCAAAGGGCCGTGTAAGCTGATATGCGAGCCCCCCTCGTTCCCCCCCCCTAGTCTCGCTCTTCAGCTACCCTTGGCAATGGTGCCCTAATAACTGGTACGGGGTCTGAAATAGAAGAATACGGCGAATGGTATTCGTTACCTTGCAAAAAAAGGTTGTTTAAAGGCGGTTTTCCACTAGACGGAATTTTTCGACTGAACGGAATTTTTCGTCCGATATTCTTCCCAATTGTGGGAATTCGACCGTAGCGAATGAAAAGAAAGTCGAGCGAAAAATTTCTTACGATCAAAAATTCTGCCTAGTGGAAAACCGGCTAAAGATTGGTCTCCGACAATTAAGCATCAGGCGCAAGGTTAAAGTGCATTATTCATCAAAGCCAACAAGGACATCCGTTATGTTAAAAAAAAACTGAGCTATAAATGACACCCCCCTGCGACTTTAGCTGGCCTCTACGTCTTCCAAAATACATGCAACCTGTGTAGTGGCAAGTATTAAATAATATTATTTATTTAATATACTTACAGTCGCGGCAATAGAAGCGTCGCGAAAAATATCGAGTAATTCATTTGCTCAAATTTATCAGTTGGCGAGGAGTTACGTAGTTATATATTTGAAAAACTTGAAAAACTACGAATTGACCATTATCTAATCCTATTGGATAATGAAATAAATAGACGCATATGATTGGACAATTCTAAACCGGAAGTTAGGAGCTTTTTAAATAATTGAATCGTTGATGAACTCCGCAAAGCAACTGATAAATTTGAGCAAATGAATTACTAGATATTTTTCGGAACGTTTATATTGCTGCGACTGTAAATGCATTACTGAAATGCATTACATTCTGCACACGGGAAAAGGTTCGGGTCTAGTAAAGAGCCTCTGGCTCTGTGAGGCTGAAAGACTACAGTGTTATAGGACTTATAGCATTCAATAGGCCTTGAAACTATAAAGATGCTCGGTCGGTTAGTTGACTATAGAGAATTTGGCAAAGCCTTTATTGTTGATGTACACAACACGGACGGAGATGGATTATTTGCTATAAAATCATTAGATTTTACAATTCCCTATTGACTATTGAAACGAACCTGTTTTCCTTTAGCGTCTCTGCTGTTCCATTTTTTAGATTAAACCTCGGTCGTCAGATAGCTGCTTTCAGTAACAGCGTTGTGCTGTATGCAACTCATGTTCTAGCTTTTGCGACGAAGTTTTCAGTTTGATTTCCAAATCGTACAATCGTACGTGATATTTTGGTTGTTATTCGTGAAGAAGGTGTAATGCACTAACTGGTGCAACATATCGTATGGCTAAATAATACATTTCTTCTGGTAAGTCACTTAGAAAGTTTTCCGGTATGGTCGGGAAATTTTAAATCGATAAAGGGAAAACCCCCTTTCGCTTGTATGCATAATTATCAAAATAAATACTTTTGTCTGTGACTCCGAGAGCTCACAACTTTGATATATTTCACTAAAAGGAGAACGAGAAACACAATTCAATATACCAGAGAAAGATTATTTAGCAAATTTGCAGCAATTTGGGGGAATTTAGGAAGTTTTAGGAAGAAGGGGAATTCCCTCGTCGCGATGAGCCCGTGAGAGCAAGGGTTGATCTCGTTTTAAGCCAATCAGCGGGTTTGTGGTCGACAAATAAAATTCAGAAAATGAAAAATTGTATTGTAAACACAAGGAGTGAGAAAACAACACCGTATTCTATAGCTTCTGTGCCATTCAATAATCATTTTCACGATCCAAAACCAACAAATTGCCATAGAGCATGCCTTTTTATACAATTTCCCCGTCCGCATTTGTTAATTTCGCTGGTTGAATTATCGATGTCTGAATCACAACGTTTTGCCAGCCGTAGAATGACGTATATATACGCATCGGCTTCTAAACTATAAACAAGGTATATAATCCTTTGAAATCTGTACATTTTCCCACCATCTCCTTTAAGCTCATGCTGCAAGAAACGCAACACGATTAAATAAATTTTTATTCCGGAAGTACGCGTCAACGTGTGATTGTAATGTTGTCATCACCTTTTGTTATTGACTGAGGCCATATCCGTTTCGCGCTGTATTAACTTGTAATGCCAAGAAATAGGAGCTGTTGGGTCACTTGTGTGTATAATTTTTAACGCCATATACAAATCATAGAACAATGAAGGCTTACTTAAATTAATTGCTGTGGGACATCAGGTATTCTCTAAAGGCTAATTCGTCGCAGCAACTAGTGTATTTTTATGTTCGTTTGGATCGTTGATGTCTGGTTTGTGTTCGCATATTTGTTCTTCATCATCGCTGTCATCCTCATCGCCCTCACAATCTTCTTCGTCCTGGTCTCCCCCGTCATCTTGACTATCATAATGGCCATAAATAGCAAAGACAGCCTCGTTTGCTGCTTTGCAAATGCAACAAGTACTTAGGTCGGGCAAGTGGCAAGTTGTACGGTACACAATATACAATATACATAAATGAAGTGATTAATTTATAAACGTTGTCTCAAAATAAGGTACAAACTCTTTAAAGTTAAATTATTATTTGCAGGCATTGCAGTAATGGGAAATCTAGAGCAGTATATTGCTTTTGGTATCTTTCCAAATTCTTTCTCAACATTTGAGCGGGAAAATTTCCCATAGCTACATTTTACATTCAATCATTTGTATAATTGTATCGCGTGTGGTTTTCGGCGTATTTTCAAGAACAGCGACTATATGGCTTACTTAAGTTATGGAAACGAATTTGATCATGAGCTTAAGGAAATCAGCTATTTATAACTTTTAAAAAGAAGTTGAAGCGTACCATGCTTTCAAAATATTTTTCTAAGGATTAATATTTTAATGTAATTAATGTAACTATATTATAGAGTATATTTTAAACGGTTATATATATTTTTGTAAATTGATCTGAAAAGCCCGTTTGGGAGATCTGTGAAATTAATAGTATTAAAAAAAATAATTTAGCGTAATTCCGCAGTGTTTGGTCCAGTTTGGATAATGTTATGTTTTCAACCAACAAATCCGGCAAGCATACCTTTATACGAAAAAAACACATGCAAACCATATGTGTTTCTCATGTGATTCACATGTGTATACATCAGATCATATGTGGTTCACATGTGAATATACGTGGTTATATGGAGTCTACATGCATATAAACCACATGTGATGCGCACGTGGTTACATGGATACACATGTGAACCACATGTGATGCGCATGTGGTTACATGGATACACATGTGAACCACATGTGATGCGCACGTGGTTACATGGATACACATGTGAACCACATGTGATGCGCATGTGATTACATAGGGAATATCTGTCAACACATATGGTTCATATGCCTGTGATCATGTGTATACAACAAAAAATTTATTAGCATTAATATTCTTCAATTTTGCATGGTGAATTAATAGCTTAAGGCCATGTTTACACTAGCTGTACTGGAATTGCATAGAGATTTAGTTGTCGACAACTATTTGTAATCGACAAGTAAAATAATTATCGACAACTAAAAAACGTAGTCTGTCGCGCAAGTCGTCGGGAGCTAAACTCTAAATTATTAGTTGTCGATAACTAAGCAGTTTTCCTTTTCGAAAAGGGGCCTCATTTTTTGGCGTTTTTCTAGTATGCGAAAACTTTTGTTTTAGTTGTCGACTACTTTTAATCTCCGCGCTATTTCGGTTGCTAAATCAGTATTTGAGCGCCAGTGTGTGGAATCCTTTATCGGACTTATTTAGTTGTCGATAACTTTTAGTTGTCGATCACAAATAGTTGTCGGCAACTAACTCCCTAGTCTGTGCCTAGGTAGCCCAAAGGTATTTGTGTTTTAATCTAAAGCCTCCACCCAGTTTAATATCGCGGTCTGTGACGTAAACACCAATTGCTATAATTGGTGTTTACGTCACAGACCGCGATAATAAACTGGATGGACGCTTTAGATTGAAACACAAATACCTTTGGGCTACCTAGGGTCTGTGGAGGCCCTAAATCATCAATTGCATAAACACCCGCATGTGTTCCATTTAGATAATAGCTAGCTTCACTCAGCCTATCAGCTTCCAGTATTTCCATGCTCTATATCTCATAGTGTTTGAAATTCATCAAATTCTATTAAATTCAATTATGAGTTATTTTATTGAATCATTAACTATAATTCAATCACTTGCGAAGGTAGCTACTCTACTGTATAAAACAGTTAGCGCCTGACGACGTGTGCTGTATGGGCTATATATATCAATTCACGAACAGGGTTGGTAAGTTACTGAATAAATAAGCCAAACATTGTTATTAGCGGCCCTTTGATTCCTTTGTTTTAAACAAAGAAAACAAATGTTATGTTAATATATTTGGCTTATTTATTCATAAAATCTACCAACCCTGTTCACGAAGGGCCTTTACCTCCCGCACACTAGGGAGTAAAGAAACTTGCTTAATGTTCACGAGTATCTTTTAGGCCTAGTTTATACGTCGCATATATTGGTCGCGTTGAATGCAATTCAAACAATTGAGTATGAGATGACAATGAAGCTTAATCAGGTTTATCATCTCATTATCAATTGTTTGAATTGCATTCAAATGCGAAGAAAATGCTACGTATAACCTTTGCCTTAGCTCAGCCGATAGCTCTCGTTCGCGGGCTGGCTTAATTGCTTAAAACCTGTTGTTGCACGTTGCGATCGCATTTTACGGCCACAATTCTGGTTACATCTACGATTCGTTCTGTACTGAAGACAACGCGTACGACGATGTCTGCTCTTAGTCTACACTTGAATGGTTTTCATATCAGTGACGCTGTTTACAAGACCCCCATATATTCATCGTATAGTATGCGATGTAACGCGAGTCCTCCGTTTGAACAAACATCTAAACTTTCCCAAGCAACTTGCACGCTATGTGAATCATGCATCGGATCCAGTTGTCATTTTCGGTCACGGAGATAAATGTGGAAAGAGAACAGTCGAACAATCTCACATCCGAAGAAAGAATTTTAAATACGAACATCGATTTTAAAAGGGAAATTGGGGTTAATTGTTAGGTCTCTCTCAAGATTTTCATTATCTTCTCTTACTTTGAGATATTCGCAAATATCTAGCCTATTTTCCCTATGCCAATAATATCAGCATGACTAAATTGAATACCTCCCACACGTGTACATAATTTATTTAAATTAATTTTTGTTGTATTAACTATAATTAAGGATAATTTAATTTGTCCCCAACAAATTTAATTAATTATAGATGCAAATCAGGTGCAATATGATTCATTTTCATTTGAAACCCAGGGGTCTGATGTACACTGATTGTTAAAAAATACAATTATATCGCGTTCTGAAAATATAAAGAATTTTTGTGAGATAGCTAACGATGTCAATCCACTTTTTAATATTAATGCTTATGATGAGCCACATCTCTACGCAAACATATCCTGTTATACGACGTGGTATGTTCTTTTTATGTTGTTTATATTAATCATTTAGTCATTCCAAATTGTGTCGAGGACGTTGAAGATCCTTATCATGAGAAGTTGGAGCATATCCGAGTAAGTAACACTTTCCTCTTTGCTAAAGCATGCCGCGACCTATATATATGAATAGTAGTGTGGGCCTCATGACCTAAAATTTTCGTACATTCTTCTTTCCAAAAAAATATGTTATTGTATATGAGTCAAAATACAAACCATATCATTATTTATTAATAAATTTTAGGCTAAAGAACATGAGAAACGTCTATATATTTTTACCTTTATTTAATCAAATCATGCGGGTCGTTCAACATCAGCCTTCTGCCGTTCTGATGAAATTTTCAACACGGCTTAAAACAGTGGCGACTAAAAATTGGGGTTCACACAGCTGATATTTTACCAGTGTGAATAAAATATATTATTATATACACAAGTGCCAGATATGAGCAAGGTATGCTGCAATTTCATTGGTTGGCTACTAGACAGATATTAGCTCATATCTGTCTAGTAAAGAAAGTAAACAAAATGGCTGAAAGATTTGGGGAGTTGAGTGAAATAGAAATCCAAGCTTTAGTTGATAATAGCACACCAAAATGCACCGAAAAGGCGACAAAGTTTGTGTATATAATAAAACACCTTTTCTGCTCACTCTCGTCATTCTTATGGCCGTATATACGACTCGAGTTCGCAGAATAACTGTTAAATAGCTGTTGCATGGTGTTTTCATTGACCCCAGCGGGATTTAAATATATTTCCAGTTTTAAAGTTTAAAGTATAGAAAGTAGCTAGCACGAAACTGGACTAGTGATCTGTGTTAGGTACCACTTCTTTTCACCTTTCCATTGGTTACCGTAATTACAAACGCATATGAAAATATCAAGTGATTTCCCACTGCTTACACAAATAATTGTTTTTGCATTTAGGCGTATCTCGCTTAAGGACTAATATCATGGATCAGTTTACAGAAGAAATGGATATATTTTGTGAACTTCAGTGCGCTGTAAACCGTTTTTGTGTTGCGTATAATTATAAGAAAAAAGTCGATGAAGAGTCCAACTGTCAGCTGACCAACACAACTGAGCATGACTTTGAGGAACACGGAGGTATCAAAGAAGAGCGAGAGTGGAGCTTTTACAAGATTAACGTTGACAGAAGTCATTTTGTAAGAATACTATATTGAAATTACCTTTGTATATATTCTAAAAGCTGAATCACTAATCAATCACTAATATATACCAATTTTTTTATGTATGTCTCACTCAGTGATATAAATATATATGGCAAAAGAGATGGCAAAAAAATTAAAAAGGGAAATATATTAAAAACTTTGAAATTCCATGACCATCCTTATCATAAATACTGTGTCTATAAGCCTTTCGTACAATCCTCTATAAATACAGATTTCTTGTAATGACGTCAAACGCGGAGGGCCTGATGTTCCACGGAGTATGATTGGCTCTCCGTAAAACTAACGAGCCAATCAACTACACGTGTGCGTTGAAAGTCATAATATATAAGAAAGGTCTATTAAAATGGTACACCACCAATTTGCAAATTTATAAACTGAAAATATCGAAATATCTTAACACAATTATTAATATCTGTTTTTTAGAGTCTAGTTCCCAGGGCAGGCATCAGTGTGCCAAGTATGCTTCAGTCGTTTTAGAGCTTAGTTTTTTGGTAGAAGAGAGGGAAAGTTTTTGCCGCAATATACTCAAATTAACTTCGGTACCATTGTGCGAAAAATCATTTCTTTTTGGACGTGTATCCGAGAAACTCCGGAACAACTGCTGAACAAACTTAGCTCGTGAATGCCTCTGCTGTGAACTAGAATCAGAACAATCATACATTTCTACTTCAACATAATTTATTTCAATATTTCTAATTTTAGTATTACACCTTAAGTATTTGCAACGAGCACTTATTTTCACCGATGGCTTGATTCCACTTTTCACCGTGGAATTTTCAAATCTTTTACTACAGAAAAAAATAGGTATTTTCCATAATGACATTTATGTGTCTTGAATTTTTTTTAAGCTGGCGTGCGGGAAGGAAGTAAATGAATGTCGTAATGGCGGAACCATGGTTTGGGATCCTCGAGCTGAACAGTTTACTTGTTGGTGTTTGAAGTGTTACGAAGGAAAACATTGCGATAACGGTGAATTATGTTTAATTATATCATGCTAGCGTTTTGCGAGTGTATTTTGCGATGAGTGGAAAAGAGACTTAAAGTGCCTATATCACTTGTGGGATCTTTACGGATTTGAATAGGGCTTGAAAAATTAGTTTATAAGTTCTACAACCCTTTTTGATATAGTTAAATAGTTTCGGAAATATTTACATCTAAACGATTTGCCTAAATTTCCGTCGTGTTCGGGGCCTGGGACTCAGGAACCGAGTTCTTGTCAAACATAACAGCTGGGCATTTTGTTGTCGCTGTCTAAAAATTGCGGGCGCATTTCCTCAAGAAGAATTTTAATTCTTCGAACGCCAAAAACATGTATTTTGAGGAGCTTTTTCTCCTTTTTTACTGGTTTGTTCATGGAAATAAAAAGGTGTATTCAAAGATTACGTTCCCGTGCTTGCATACAAGGGTATAACGACATTCTCGCGTAAATATTTGCGAAGAATTTTTATTTGCAAATGGGCAACAAGTTGAAGTATTTCACTCATTGTCAAAGTTTCAGGACCAGGTTACAGCAGTATGCAAACAACGAATTAACCCTATTTTACTCTTGACAGAAGCTGACATATTGTTGTTTCCACATGTGTGTTCATTAATCTATTTGTCCCTTCTCACGCAAAATAAATAAGTACCTTAACATGCATTTTTTTATAGAAATAACACCTTTTCCTCTTTCGATTTCGTGAAAACTGACCTTTGCCTTCAGTTATAAAGTATATTTTATGAAAGTTAAATCATGTTTTGTTTTATTGAAACATTAGCCATGCACTCATGGGAAAAATGCTCTAGATGTTGTAATTTCACAAACCACTTATGCTCTGAAAATGCCATGTGGTAACATACTTAGGAACTTCCTTCTGTATGAGTTTGTTATGATGTAAAAATTGCTGCAAAAGTGATTTTAATATGTCCAAGTATTGGTTGTTATGAATTATGAAAAGTCCTATTGATTTGGTAAGTTTTAAGAATCTAACTGCAAACTTTAATATGGGCATACTTGCTTTGTGAAATTATGTGATGCTGTGGCACATATATAAAAATATTTTAAAATTTTTACCAGTGCCTCTCTCCGAAACATGGCTTAAAACTATCCATATTGTTCAAACTTCATAAAAAAGTTAGTGGGCATGCTGAGAAAAATGCGCACAATACTTATTTTTGTCTGTAAACAAACATATAAATTAACCTGTGGGATATGTTACTTCCTATTTCTGATCATTTAACTAAAGTATGATAAAATTATTTGAGCAAAAATTTAGTATAACATTGCTTGCATCAAAATACAATAATGGGGAATCGTTAGAACCTTTTATGACATGAACTTTAGTACCTTTAGACCTAGATAAAAAGGTGTTATTTCTATAGAAAAATGCATGTTAAGGTACTTATTATTTCGCATGAGAAGGGACAAATAGATTAATGAACACACCTGTGGAAACAACAATATGTCAGCTTCTGTCAAGAGTAAAATAGGGTTAATTCGTTGTTTGCATACTGCTGTAATCTGGTCCTGAAACTTTGACAATGAGTGAAATACTTCAACTTGTCGCCCATTTGCAAATAAAAATCCTTCGCAAATATTTACGCGAGAATGTCGTTATACCCTTGTATGCAAGCACGGGAACGTAATCTTTGAATACACCTTTTTATTTCCATGAACAAACCAGTAGAAAAGAAGAAAAAGCTCCTCAAAATACATGTTTTTGGCGTTCGAAGAATTAAAATTCTTCTTGAAAAAATGCGCCCGCAATTTTTAGACAGCGACAACAAAATGCCCAGCTGTTGTCAAACATAATATAATCAATTGTAATCTTACTTCGATCTTCCAATAGCGTAAAATATTTTGAGAAAAACTCGCCCAGTTGCTACAACCATACAAAACGCACCGTTCCCGCATTTTTTTCTTGAAAAGCGCAAACTATATCGCCAGTGAAACTCGTCATGTTTACATTATAAAAGACAGCGTGTTTGCAAATCATTCCCCCCAACCAACGTATTTTCCAAACTATTTAATTATATCAAAAAAGGTTGTAGAACTTATAAACAATTTCTTCAATTAAGCCCTATTCAAATCCGTAAAGATCCCACAAGTGATATAGGCACTTTAATATAATTATATAGTATAAGCTAGTTCAATAGTTTTTTGAGATAACCTTGCATATAACTATAATAAGACGTTATTCACACAAACAAAGAGGGGGAATTTCGTTTCAGTAAATTTATTTACATTTTCAGTAACTCAATCAGAGGGCATAAAGTTTGACTACTTCCGGTAAAAAGGTACATTATTTACTATTTTACATGAGGTTTTAAAAATCAAGGCATTCTGATTAGCATTGCGTAAAATATGTAAACAAATATGCCGATTAGCTTAAAACGAAATTCCGCCTTGTTCACAGCGACAGTGAGTATTTAATATTACCTTGTCGAGAAGACTCAAGCCTGATAAAGCAAATAAATAATGTTGGTGTTAAAACAGATTTAATTATATTACTCTTATATTTTAACACCATTTAACAACGATTATTTCGTCTCGGTATTAAATCAGCGATATATTCAGTCGCGTAGTCAGCACGATAATTGGGGGGCACATATTCATATATTCGTGATACGCAGGATTAATTTCTTTTCAAATCAATTGTCTTTACAGTCTGTTAACATGAATATATGAATATGCGCCCCCCAATTATCGTTGCTGGCTACGCCACTGGATATATTCACAGAGACTGGGGTGACTAATTGTTTTAGTATAATTACAAAACGTAAACAGACACTTTTTACAGCGATTCAAACAGATGAAATAATGTTTTCGCAAAATAAAGTTCAATGTAGTTTTTTTTACCTTGAATATGATTTTAGGCTTATTTTTTTTCCCTTTTTTGTGCTTTCGTTAAAATAATGCCTTTCTTCATCTGTCACCTTGAAATATCCGCTTAGGTGATTATCGCGTAATAATCCTAGGTCGCTCGAGCAACCAGATGTCAGGATTTTTAATAATCATCAATCACATTTCTAAAAGATGAAAAAAATAGGTAAAAAACATTTGGCTGCTTTTTAATAACATAATTTTCTGATTAGTGCCTAATAGAGCTCTTGGGATGGAAAATGGTGATATTCGTGATAACCAAATCACGGCATCAAGCGAATACAATAGTTTTCATCGTGTGGCGAATGGAAGATTAAATTTCTGCCCGAGCAGTGGAAGATCTTGCGCATGGTCATCTTTGAAGAGTAATATTCATCAATGGCTTCAAGTTGATCTTAAAATAATTACTCTAATCACAGGAATAGGTACCCAAGGACGCAATCATTTTAATGTTAATCAGTTTGTTAAGAGATACACCATCTCTTCGAGCAAAGATGGGGAAACTTTTCAATTCTATAAACAAGAAGAAGCAGTCAAGGTACTAATCTATATCCACTAGCTGCACGTTGTTATACAAATATGCATTCATACAAAATCTGCGCTCACCTATTTGAACTAGTTGATATGCAGGGTCGTAGGAACCGTGTGCCCTGCCACCAAACCGTCCCTATTTAACAATTAGTCGCCGAAGGCGAGGTGATTACAACCCTATATTCACTGAGCCGAAGGCGAAGTGAATATAGGCTTGTAATCACCGAGCCTGAGGCGACTAATTGTTTTAGTATAATTTCAGTATTGAAAATTAAATACAACTGATTTATGTTCTCAATTTCTGCTTCCGAAATTTTTCCAAAACGATTTTGAGTATTTTCAGCCATGTTTTTTTGGGGGAAAAGCAATAGTTACTGCTCAGACTGCTCTGAGCAGTAACTATTGCCTCATAGTTACTGCTGAAGGAGCCAATCAGAATGCTCAAAGGTCATTTTTCAATACTGAAATTATACTAAATATACATATTTTAGCTTCCTTTTTATCAACCAAGAGTGTTGAGTGCCCGCCTGGAAGCTGGTGCTTCTCTAGATCAGTAGCGCACCTGGCCTGGCGATTTGCCCTGCTATGCTAATATTTTGGTGTTAATTGACTGTGAAAACAAAAAATTTTTAAAGACAAGAATGGTAGCAACAAATTTACATAGGTTGGCTACGCCAACTATACATTTCTCGGTTCAGAAATGTAAAAAGACACACTTGAATTGATTCGGAATTTCAAATTCAACCACAAAAATATATTCTTGCATGTTTGAATGGTGGTGATGTCAAATAAGTAAATTAGTTTGTAGGTACACGTATAAGTATTTAATACTGCAAAAGCTTTTGGGCCAAGATGCTTGCAGCGATTCCGTCGGTTACAAGCTCTTTTTGGTGAGCAATTTAGCTATATATATAGTGGTGGTTTTATTGGCTTACCATCACAACCAAGGGCCGAAAGGCATTGCACTGATGACGGGTTAACGGACCGAAAGCTTTATTTAAGTATTAAATACTTAAGTGGTGTACCTACAAGCTAATTTTCCTCAACCACAAAGCAACCTTTTAAAAAACTGTTTGTATAATTTTAACACTATTATGATCAGTGGCAAAGGAAGAAGCAATAGATTATTATTGGCGAGATCATTTTCATCAAGGACGAGTCCTGCACAACTTTGCTTAATTATTTGCTCTAAATTTGGATAAATTAAAGTAACGAATAAAACTGTTGCCGAAATAGTGAAAAGGTGTCATATTCATGCTGCGTGTATATAGTATTCTATTTGGAAAATCTACTCTAATTATAATATGCTCTAAAACACCGTTTCAATTTGTGGTTTGATTTTGAAGTCAGGATACTGGGCTAAATCTTTTTGCTTCTAAGACTAGGTGCCTTGTACTCTACATATCGGCTGTGAATTGAACTTGCAAGTTCGCACCATTTTTAGTGCGTTTTTAGTCACGTATATACTTTCTAATGCAACTTTCTTATTCTAGTAATTGCACCTACGCCATTAATTATATACAGGTAGATCTAGAGTCTTATTTCAGTCATATATATAAGTGGTCCATATTAGTTGCTCGTCAAGTTGTTTACTAGACAATAAGAGGCTATCAATGAATAGTTGATATCTGGGAAACATTTATCCTAGAAGCTCCTAGTGGTGCAAAAAAAATATAATCGATATTATATATGACGTCTTCTTTTTTTTACAGGAATTCCAAGGAAACAACGACAAAAATTCTATTGTCCGTCATATGATTACTCCCCATATTTCTGCTCGGTTTATTCGCGTCCATCCAACGGCTTGGAATGAACATATTTCGATAAGAGTTGAATTTTATGGCTGTAATTAATTACATAAACTTGCTTTCTTTAAGATTGAATATCGATTCATTTATTTTATTTCTTGTGTTCTTTCTGAGATCAACTATATCGTTTGTCCGGGAATTTTACTAAGTTTTATGCTATTATTAGTCAATATTGAAGACACACCCTTTGTGGGAATCAGTATAGCTTTATTTATATGGGTAGCGTATCAAAATATAATTATCTACCTATCTATCTATATGTACTGTGACCGGACGAAGCCACACGCACGTGCGCACTGCCACATTTATGAAGAGAACTTCTACAGTGTTTTTCATTGATGCTGATCGAAATCGGATGGCAAGGAGCAGGTGGAAACACCTCCTCTCGTGCGGTTTTATAATATGCTCACACAATAGTATAGCTACCATATAATTTTTATTACATTTTATCATCATTAATTTTTAAACATTATATTTATTAACCGGCATATTGCATTTTAATTATTCCTTCCTGTAACAAGGGACATACAGCTGCATCAGTGTTTTATAAAAACAAGTTTGCATGTACTTACATTCTGTAAACACAAAAGGAAATCAATCTCAATGCAAAAATGAAGAGCTTTTTTCAAATCAGAATGTTTCTCCAATCGTTAATTTTATGGCAGCAACAATTCGTATGTCTCAATGTTCCGCAAAATCCTGCAGTTCATCATGGTAAGCCACAATACCCTTTACGAAATTTTTAAAGCGTTATTAAGAGGCCTCTTTAGTATTTTATAGACATTTTGTGTAACTGACTTTTAGTTTTGCGAACTAAATTATCTAACTTAAACGAAACTAGATTATGACGATTACAGTTTTGCCAAAATATTGAAACGTTTTCTGTGGGTTTTTCTCACATTATAGTCCTGAAATGTGAAACGAAAAATAAGATCATAGGATATGGAGCATGTTTCCAACAAAATAACTGAGGACTTCCCTTATAGTTAGGTTTTTTTTAATAACTTCTCTCTTAATTTTTGCTATCGTAACATGTGTTCTAGGATCACGCTTGAGGAACAATGTTATTGGTGAATTTACAGAAGAAATGGATTTGTTTTGTGAACTTCGATGTGCAGAAAATCGGTTTTGTGTCGCATTTAGTTACAAGGAAAAAACGCTGGAAAATGAATTAAACTGTCAGCTTACCAACACAACTGAGCATAAATTCAACGAACGCCACGAAACAAGGGAAGAACAAGTCTGGACGTTTCACGAAGCTAAAGTGGATCGGAGTTACTTTGTAAGAATTTTTATAATATCTCGCTGTCATTTCAATCTAGCTCAATGTTTTAATTTTATATTTGCGAGAAATGTTTTATCTACATTAATGAATCTATCTATGGGGCCAAAATATTGAAACCGCGGTAATAATTTTCGGTACAGCAAATTTTTATGATGTCATTTCTCTTAAACGGGCATTAAAACAGATCATAAGATTCCTACTCATAAAATTATTATGATTTTTATTTATTGCATAGTAAAGTTGCAATCGTATTGCTTTCTCCATACTTGATATGAAAGTTTATTAAAATGCTTTTTTATTACAATTCCGAAGGCCAACTGCAGGGGAGAAGTTAATGAATGTCATAATGGCGGGACAATGACTTGGCAAATAGCAAGACAGTTTTCATGTCAGTGTTTGAAATGTTATGAAGGAAAACGCTGTAAAAACGGTAATAAAGACATTACGTTTAGACGATTTCATAGTTTATTATTATAATATTTCGCCAGCTAAATTTATATTGAATTGGCGCTATAGGAGAGCAAGCAAAGGTAAAGCTACATTGTATGTTATCCAGATTAACTATTCGGCATTTTTTTATGCATGCTCACATTAACTTACTCTTTGGACGATAAAATAAAAAAATGCATGCTCGATACTCATTCTGAGGAAGAATACATTAATTCGTAAATACGATTTTAGATGTTACATTATAAAAGCCCTGGGCTTCCCTACAACAATTACGGTTTGACCCCCGCACACCCATACGATCCCTTACAGTCCACCAGAACATTAACAAAATTACATACAGTTTTGTACATTTATATGATATTTACACCGTAAGGCGTAGGGAATGCTCAAAAACTACTGGCAAACAAAGCTATATCGATTGACTTAATACAGTGCGCAAGTCTGCTCTTGGAATGGAAAATGGTAATATCCTTGATGAACAAATTACGGCATCAAGTTATTGGAGTATTACACATCGTGCTTCGAATGGAAGATTAAATTTCACACCGCGTGATGAAAGAACTGGAGCATGGTCATCGGGGAATAGTTCGTTTCCACAATGGCTTCAGGTTGATTTTAAAAGATCAACTGTGATAACTGGAATAAGTACCCAAGGACGCAATTATGGCAATAATACTGTGGCTAATCAGTTTGTTAAAAGATACACCATCTCTGCCAGCAAAGATGGAAAAATATTCCGATCCTATAAACAGGAAGAAACAGTCAAGGTACTTATATATGGCTGTTATTACTATAAAATAGATTTATTCATTTGATTATATTAATTATTCATCTATGTGCCACGAACTTTTGTCACTTTCCCATGAACTTGGCAATGTTAATTACAACTATATACTGCAGTGGCGTAGCCAGCCACAATTAGTCATGCTATGCTGATACTTTGATGTTCATTGACTGTGAAAACAATAAATTTGTAATGACTTAAAATTTTCATAGCATGACCAAATTGTCAGGCTGTTTATACTGGCTAAATCAATTGCTTAATATCACATCACATCGTCTTTTTTCTCAACTCACCTATTAATTAAGGGCCATACTTTAGCCATGCTTTATTACAGCATTAGAACATCAAACATCTTGTGTTCCTCTATCATTTACCTTCAATCTCTGCGGTGTATATCATTAACAGTACATCAGAAGTACCAATGTCCAGATACATCTTTGCGGTTGCATTGCTAGATTTCTAGAATATAATCATGGTTAACATTAAATATTGTTAAAACTTAAAATTAAAAGTGCGTATTTTTATCCACACACTCTCCCATTGGGCGATTGATGTCAGTAAGATAATATATAATTATGCTATAGGGCTGGTTTAAGTACTCTATTTGAATTATTTACTATTATTTCTTTCATAACGTTAGTAGGACGTTCTAAATCACCAAATCAATTTAGTAGTAAGATTTTATATCACCGGGATATTCTAAACTAAATGGTTTGTCGTGGTTTCTAAGATTAGCTACCTTGTACTCTACATAGGCTTTAAGCCACTGATGTTTCGTAAATTCAGCTGCGCCATATTTGTACACATAGAGGTTTGTAACCTACCAACCACTAGATTTTAGTGGGTCCAACATGGCTTCAATACCCTATAAACATTCACAGCATTATACCTGGGGTGAAAATAATGAGATTTTTATAAATGGCGTCGTATTTATTTTACAGGAATTCCAAGGAAACAGCGATCGGAATACTATTGTCCATAACATTTTCTCCCCTCCTATTTCTGCTCGGTTCATTCGCGTTCATCCAACGGACTGGAATGCACATATCTCAATGAGAGTCGAATTTTATGGTTGTAATTAATTGTATATAAATAGAATTATATACCTATATGTTTATACAGGGTTTCTAAAAACCCCCCAAACCTATTGAAACCACCTATTGTTAAAATTTGATTGACTTGTTCGGGAATTTTTGCTCTTGCAGATGAACCCAACTTATAAAATGCTAAATGGGCCTACAGAAATTTAAAATTTGCTAGAGAAAAATTATATACTTATATTATATACGTGCAAGATAACCAAAAAAATTCTAAAGCCAACTTGATAAAATTTTCATGGTTGACTTTAAAGACATTCGGAGGAGAACCTAAAAGATATGTACTCCCAATAATTATATAGTCTAAGTAGAATATACCCACTGTTTATTTTAAATAGATCTTTGTCGTTTTATATTAATTTTATTACCTGCCAAACGTTCAATGCTACAAATTTTTTATTTATTTTAAATTCCGTGCGGAGGGAAATACATTTACATCTAAATAAATAACACATTCCTCTGTTCTACTGTTAAAACCTGGTTATGTTATCGTGTTTAAAAAAAACGTGCATTCTCCATCATTGGACGTGTCTGTTGTTCGTTGCTATGTTGACTGCACGCTCATTGATTTCACACAACTCTTCTTTTCTCAGAATAACCTGCATGGTAATATAAGAAGGATAAAATATAATGTTATCCAAAGTTGAAGGAAAGAATTTCGACCGGTAGACACCTTAAAGTGTGTAAATTTTACAGGTCACCACGCGGCACAGTTTACCTAAAAATGACAGCTCGGGCAAAATGATTGACACAAAATTCATTACTGCTGAAATTCTTCACTTTCAGCTTCCATGCCTGGAAGAACAAGTACCTCATATTTGCGTACGGCTCAAAATTATATTTACCCACGCATTTTTGTGGCAAATATCAATTAATCATCTCATGGCGCCATGCAAAGTTATGTACTCCTAGTAGACGTTTCTATTTTTGCGATTCCGTCAACAACAAGCGTTGCGTAACCGAAAAAAAGTTGGTTGTCTTAGTCAGTTTCATGGACCCTTAGGATTGGCCACAAAAGGCAGCCACGTGCAAACACCTTTATAGAGTTATTTATACTTACCGTGTCATCAAAACAACTTCTATGCATGGACCGGAAGATCTTTAATTGGGAGGCTAATATTCATGTATTCGTGTTAACAGTTAACGTAAAAAAAAATCAATTTGAAAAGAAAGCAAGGGCCTTCCACTTAATGCTGTTTTTCATTGTCGCCTTTTTTGCACGTACATGCACGCACGCCAAAGTTCATAACCTTCTAAGTTGTTAGCTATATAATGAATTTTATTAGCGAAAAAATATACCTGCTGTACAGATCTTCCCTGCGTAATAAGACACGCGTAGTTCAAAAAGCGAATTTCAATCGTGTCTGATTTTTTTTTGAAATTGGTAAAGTTACAAAATTTCGTTAAACAAAGCCTTGTATAGCATGGCAAACCGCCACCCATATAGCTCAGATAATTCCTGGGAACACGCACAAGTTCATTAAACTACAGACCTGCTGACGGGTAACATGAATGTTACCTGCTGGAATTATTGAGATAGACCTACGCCGAAAAATGAACACAATAAAACTTAATAAAAAGTCTAAACATAATGAAAATGAATGACAGCGGTAATATGGAAATTCGTCATCAGCTTAATCATTAATCGATATATTGTATCATTTACTCCTCCTACGAGGAGCTCGCAGCTGCATTTTGATGATACAGCATATGTGTATATTTATTCCCTAAACACAGGACGTAATCAACCACAATTGCGAAATGAAAAACATTCTCACAATCCGGATGTTCCTACAATCTTCCATGTTTTTGCAGCTGCAATTTGTGTTTCTCACTGCTTCACAATATCTGGCAATTCGTCATGGTAAGCCAAAATAAAGCTTTATACTAAGATTTATCATTCATTATCAGAATATCATGCAGCTATATTAATAAACATATCCAGTTGAGGATCTCACGAACTTCCAGTTTTGAGAACTAAATTGAATAACTTAAAGTCGATTAAATATGACGCTTGTAATTTTGACAAAAGTTTGAATACAATAAAACGTTTTAGAGTTCTATTGTGTTTTTTATAATCCTTATTTGTAAAATTGAATTTTCTTCAATGTAAATTCGTAGCCCTACGAAATACGACTCATTATATGTCCTGTAACAAAAAGAGTGATCGAACACAACGTACATTAATTGTAAGGCCACCTGATGCAAATTGTGTGAAAGGGGATATGGACGATGCATGTTCCCACACAAAAATTTTGCGAGGGCACCTTTATTCTTTCATTGTTCAAGGATTTTTGCAGAGAATGAGTTTACGGCTCCCCATATGCTTTCAATAACTGCCGTGGATGTGTTTTAGGATCAAGCTTGAGAAACAATGTTATCGCTGAATTTACAGAAGAAATGGATTTGTTTTGTGAACTTCGATGCGCAGAAAATCGTTTTTGTGTCGCATTTAGCTACAAGGAAAAAACGCTGGAAAATGAATTAAACTGTCAGCTTACCAACACAACTGAGCATAAATTCAACGAACGCCACGAAACACGGGAAGAACAAGTATGGACGTTTCACGAAGCTAAAGTGGATCGGAGTCAATTTGTAAGAATTATTATCGCTATCATTGCAACGTACCTTTGTTGTTCAATGTCACGCCAAAAGAGGAATATCATTGTCAGTAACTTTTATCAATTCCCACGTGAGATTTAGGAAGAGAATACGTTCGTTTATCCGTACAATTTACAATTGTTCCAAAATATTTACCTAAATATAGGACTCATAATAATGCTAAATGGCAGCGTGCATTCGTATGAAGCTATGTTTAAACCTCCTGTACGTTGGCACAAATCGTAAGATTTTTACGAGACAGATTTAAGATATTGCATGTATAAAACAAGTTGTAAACTAATTGCTTCCTTCATACTTGATTTTAAATGTTACTTATACGATGTTATTATTTTCTTAATCCGAAGGCAAGCTGCAGGGGAGAAGTTAATGAATGTCATAATGGCGGGAAAATGACTTGGGAAATAGGAAGACAGTTTTCATGTTGGTGTTTGAAATGTTATGAAGGAGAACGCTGTAAAAACGGTAATAATGACATTACGACAAAACCATAGTATTATATTCAGAGGCCACGATTAACGTTAAAATTCATATTCATCTGATGCTTAAGGGGACAGCAAAGTCTAAAACAATATAAGCTTTACATTTTTAGGAAATTTTCTTTGTTCTCAGAAAAATAGGATTTCGTATTGTAGTAACTGTCTGAAATGAAATGCTTATAATTATAACCTGACATAGAGTCAATCTGGGCTTTCCGCAGAAGCGTTGTAATAAATTTAAAATGGAAATAAATTGTTTTAAATGTGAATTGATACTTCATATTTGCTGTCCCTAATATACAGATGATCTCTTTTATGCAATATGACCACATCTGACCTCTCGCGACCTTGTCGGGAAGTGATTCCCCCATAACTACGAGCATTTATTCTGCTTTTGGCCGTTTATTTCGCATATAGGTTATTAGGAAAATATCATGAACTACTGAGAAATGCAATTATTTCTTTGAAACAGTACGTACAGAGGCCCTTGGGATGGAAGATGGTAGTATCCTTGATAGTCAAATCACCGCATCAAGCAATTTTGATATTAATCATCGTGAGGCTAATGGAAGATTAAATTTCATACCACATAGTGGAAGAACTGGAGCCTGGTCTGCATGGTCCAATGATCTTAATCAGTGGCTACAAGTTAATTTTCAACGTCTTACACTCATCGCAGGAATCAGTACCCAAGGACGTGTTGACCATTATCAATTTGTTAGGAGTTACACCATCTCTTTTAGCAAAACTGGAGGATATTTCATGTATTATACCGAAGGGAAAAAACCCAATGTATACTAAAAAACGTCATACAAACTATAAACTCTAATCATTCACCACTTTTATCACGAGTTTTGAATTATATTATGTACCTTTGAGCAATTTTGTACCTCAGAGTTCTCGAGCAACGACAGAATTGGCAACATTGCCAACGCTGCTAACTGTTCATGAAATAGTCTTATTTTTGCAATGTTAATGTTCGCAAGCTGATAGCTTAGAGGTTTGCATTTTTGTAACTTCTAGATTCCACGTTATGTTATGTATAATAAAAAGCGCAATCTCGTAATCTCCAACATAACCCGATCCATTGTCCCTTTAATTCCCTATAATTTTATTCTGAATGGCTTCTAGTTTTGAGTGCTGAGCTAACCATTTTTATCAGTTGCGAAATATGAAAACTTACTTTTTCTTCAAAAATATATTTCCGGGTCAGTCCGGAAATTTGAACACATAGGTATTTCTTATTACATTGAAAGTTCAAAATGACATACAGCAACCAATATTCTTTTTCATAATTACAGGAGTTCCAGGGTAACAGCGATCAGAACACTATTGTCCATCGAAAGGTTATTCCTTCTATATCTGCTCGGTTGATTCGACTTCATCCAACCACGTGGCAAAATCATATTTCAATGAGAGTCGAATTTTATGGCTGTTTTTCGACGTAATTATGCATGATTCGTTTCTAATCAATCTAATTATTATGGAGCATCAAATGTGGTATAACAACTGCCTAAAATAGACACTTTTAGTATATAACTTTTTGGTATAATTATAACATTTTTTAATATAACACTTTTAAGCAGTTATTACAGTATTTATATACCACATTTGATGCTAAGTTGTTTTAAAACGCTGCTCTCTGGTTATATTGGAACGTAATTACAATGGATTTATTGATTAGTTGATAAGGAAATTTGAGCTCCCCAAGTGCCTGAAATGTTCAAAATGGCTTCGATTTCTTGCTAAACATCTGCTCGAACATTAATTTTTCGATTTACGCACTTTAAGAAAAATTGCAGAATTCTTTTTATTTTCAGTTTCAGGCACTTTCCGAGCATGTGCACTAACTAAGGATTTGAATTAGAATAAGACAAATTAATATGGGTCATGTCGCAGCTCTCGTGAAGCTTTAGTCCAATTGGATAATGGTTTTCTATACTTTCTGGGCAATAAAGCTATGCTATTGGTTGAAAAAGAAATGTATTTTAAAGTTCAGCCAATGAAAAGCATTCTTGCGAGGAGCTGCGACATTACCCGTTGATATGAGAGGCGGCACGAGATATTTTTCACCCTGCGTTTACATGATTGTTTTTCAAAGGGGATGTTTTCCAGTGACGAGTCTTTCCCCCGGGAATACCATATTTTTCAGTCATGTTGATCAAATAATGCCATGTCAGGGTAATATTATCACGGTCAAGCGAGATCGAGCGTTTATATGACAAAAAACGTCTCGCTTAAACCCGGTCTCCCGCTTGTTCAAAGCGGGATTCCACCTCTCCGGGACAGGACAAAAAACATCCCGGTTTCATATAAGCACCGCACGTAAGATATTATACAAACATATGATTATATACTAGAAATACATTGCATGCAAAGTCCCCTCGCCTGAAGCAATAAACTTATATTTCTATCTCTGAAATTCTATAATACTCGCGGTTTCTGCTGAATGATCGAAGCCGTGTAAGTAAAATCCTATATCTTGGTACAATTATAAAGTTGACTCTCGAGCTATCACATTCAACTATAATCGTAATTCATTATAAATTGTGCTACGAATAGTTTTAAATACTACAATTTTTAGCGAAATTTTAATTCATTTTTAAACAGATTGACCTTTAAAAATAAATGCTTTCCCAATCAAAATCATTTTAACGAAATTGACGAATAAATTCAAAGAGGTGTCGTACGTTTGTTGATAAATCTACAAGTTAAACTTACGAAATACTTGCTTGCTAAAATACAAAATCTACCTATTTACCTGTTCAAAAACACTCCAAAAATGCTTTAAAATCTTAGATTTTCACCATCTATTTTAATCAAAGTTTTTCTATCCGAAAGCATCATCTGCTTTACATTTTAATCATTTTTACGAGTGAATTTTTACGTATATTTTCAAAACCATCCAAATGAAAAATATTTTCTAAAAAGTATAATTCAAAATATCAGTTATGCTGACGCGAACCAAAATTTTAATTTAGCCAATCGCACGCTTGCAAACGTTTGCTGGTTACCAGTTTTAACTCGTCTTAAACTCACGCATGCGCATAACTTACAAAAACGCCCAACGTCCATGACATAATGGCGGACAACTTTCATTTCGCATTTGCATTCCCGGGCGTAATCAAAATCTCCGGGCGGAATTAGTACCCTCGCCCGGTGCTTCGCACCGGCTCGGGGACAAGGCGATATCCCGGCAAACGTCCGTTCCGCCTTTCATATAAACAGGGCCTTAGGCAAACTCCAGCTATTACATTGTTAAGGCTAGTTTCCGCTCAGGAAAAAATCTTCTTTGGATTGGAACGAGCAGAAAATTTTCCTTTGTTAGTGAGTTCTCAGGCGGCGTTTATACAAGGGAGACTTTCCTGTCCTTTTCGTCCAAAGGAGAATTTTCCTGAGTGGAAACTAGTAACCTTTATGGGTGCATGATTTCAATGGTTTTGGGTTTTTTGAGACACCCTGTACGTACTGTGATTAGATGAATCAAATTAAAGAATATAATTATAAAAAAACAACGCTGATTTGTTGTTGATTTTTACAGTCCATTATAACAAGGGGAATTTCGTTTTAGAACTATCAGAAGTTTGTTTACATTTTCAGTAAAGCAATCAGAACGGATCAATTTCGACTAATTCCGGTGAAAAGGTACATTATTTACCATTTTACATAAAGTATTAAAAATTTAGGCATTCTGAGTGCCAGATTAGCTTAAAACGAAATTCTTCGCTGTTGTCCATTATTCATTTCAACATGCACGCCATATGTTATCCGTGTGTTGTGTTCATGGAATATAATATCGTTATGTAGGTATATATTTTGTTATAAATCTTACGCGCACGCATTGAATACTGTATTTCCACGAATTTGAAATAATATGTTGTTTACGATTCCCATTAAAAGAAAATAGTATACCGTACTGTCCAGGTCAATTAAACCTCGTTCCGAGCGCGGCTGAACGGTGGTGAAATTGGTAGAATAGCTAAAATGCAAAAAGTTTCTAAATTGAGAGAGTTAAGATAAATCTCTGATCTGTTAGAAAAAGCAATATTTTAATATAGTATAATATAGACGAATATAGTTTTTGTAGAAACGTACTACGATAAAAGCTGGTTTAAATACTTTATTGCTTTACTTTATACAACTTTCAAAACACACAAACACACCGCCATATTGTTCTCATCAATTACACGTGTTTGTCCTTTTTGGCGGTTACTAGAAAACAGTAAAAATGTCAACGACGTTTTTGTCCGCAATCGCTAGCACAGTTTCCATTGATAGAAAGCCATCATTCTTAGGAGAGGATGTCTGGCCGCGTCACCGCACCAATGAACTGGCAGTTACTTCATGTTCCTAACAATTAATTATTGTTTGATTCACTCACAACCCCCCCCCCAGTCCCCAACTCTCCCCCAAGACTTTCACTGAGTGAAATTTTATGTAATTTTTGCACATTTATATGGCCTTTACAATTCTATTCCGTATGTCGTAGGAAATACTCAAACACTACTGACAAGCAAACGATTGTTTTAATTCTGTGCGAAAGTCGATCCGCTCTTGGGATGGAAGATGGTAATATCCTTGATGAACAAATTATTCTATTGTTTCTCCTGTGTTGTCAGTTCTCTCTAATTTATGAATATATATACTTTCGTGCAAAATAATTAAAAAAAATTCCAAAGTCAACTTGATAAATTTTCATGGTTGACATTAAAAACATTCGAAGGTGGTGAACCTAAAAGATAAGTACTCCCAATAATTATATAGTCTAAGTAGAATAGCGACTGTTATTTTAGATAGATCTTTCTCGTTTTATATTGATTTTATTACCTGCCAAACGTTCAATAATACAAAATTTTTATCATTATTTTAGATTCCGTGCCGAGGGAAATATATTTACAACTTAATAAAACAAATTTCTCTGTTCTACTGTTAAAAACCTGGTTAGTTATCGTGTTTACAAAAATCGTCCATTTTCCATCACTGGACGTGTCTGTTATTCGTTGCTATGTTGACTGCACGCTCATTGATTTCATACAACTCTTCCTTTCTCAGGATAACCTGCATAGTAAAATTTGGAAGGATAAAGTATAATGTTATCCAAAGTTGAAGGGAAGAATTTTCGACAGGCAGACGCCTTAAAGTGTGTAAACTTTACAGGTCATCACGCGCCACTGCATGTTTACCTAAAAATGACACCTCGGGCAAAACGATTGACACAAAGTTCATTACTGCTCTAATTCTTCACTTTCAGCTTCCATGCCTGGAAGAACAAGTACCTCATATTTGCGTACGGCTCAAAATTATGTTTACTCATGCTTTTTTGTGGCAAATATCAATTAACAATCTCATGCAATGGCAGCCATGCAAAGTAATGTACTCCTAGTAGACGTTTCTATTTTTACAATTCTATCAACAACAAGCGTTGCGTAACAGAAAAAATATTTTGCTGCTTGTCTTAGTCAGTTTCATGAACCCTTAGGATTGGCCACAAAGGGCAGCCACGTGCAAACACCTTTATAGAGTTATTTATTATATGCATGTGTATAGAGATTTATGCACAGCAGAATGATGAAATAAAGATCGTATTTCACTGTGTAAATTAATTTCATGCAATTTGATTGGAAGTATACGATGTTTTTCACGGGTGAAAAAATGCCATAAACGGCTTTTGATTGGACGTACGATATTCTTCACACGTGAAAAATTGTCGTATGTCATTTTGGCGGCAATTTGTTTACATTTTCTTTCAAGATGGCGTCGAAATATAGGAGTGAGATTCAAAACATAATTCTCATATTCAAGATATTTTTACATTCAGCACATCTCAAATCTTTCGGAAAGAATGTCTCCATGCATAAAGTTTAGATTTTGTTGCTCGCTGTGTTTTTGTATATTAAAAAACGTGTCGTTGTCAAATTAATCTCTATACACATTTAATAAACAAATTACTTCATGGTTGGCTCGTTTGTACGATTTTTATTACGCACTCGTTGCGAAGGATCGCAAACTCTCTCGTTCGCTGCGCTCACTCGTTCGTATTCCGATCCGTCACAACTCGTGCATAAAAATCGTACGCACTCGCCAACCATGAAGTAATCTCTATTTATACTTACCAATTTAAAGCGTGTCATCAAAACAACTTCTATGCAGGGACCGGAAGATCTTTAATTGGGAGGCTAATATTCATGTATTCGTGTTAACAGTTCGTAAAAACAATAAATTTGAAAAGAAAGCAAGGGCCGCTTCCACTTAAGGCTGTTTCCACTGTCGCCTTTTTTTGCGCGTACATGCACGCACGCCAATGTTCATAACCTTCTAAGTTGTTAGCGATATAATTAATTTTATTGCCGAAAAAATATACCTGCTGTATTGATCTCCCCTGCATGATGAGACACGCGTTGCCCAAAAAGCGAATTTCATTCTTGTCTGATTTTTTTTGAAATTGGTTAAGTTATAAAACTGCGTTAAACAAAGCCTTGCATTTGTATAGCATGGCAAACCACTCAGATAATTCCTGGGAACACGCACAAGTTCATTAAACTGCAGACCTGCCGATTATGAATGTTAGGCCATTATTAAAACTAGTAACCTGCTGGAAATATTGAGATAGGCCTACGCCGAAAAATGAACACAATAAAACTTAATGAAAAGTCTAAACATAATGAAAATGAATGACAGCGGTAATATGGAAATTCGTCATCAGTTTAATCATTAATCCAGATATTGTATTTTATTTACTCCTCCTACGGGGAGCTCGCAGCTGCATGTTTGATGATACAACATAATTCTTATGAATGTGTATAACTTTTCCCTAAACACAAGAGGAAATCAACCGCAAGTGCGAAATGAAAAACTTTTTTACCATCCTGATGTTCCTACAATCTTCCATGTTTTTGCAGCTGCAATTTGTGTTTCTCACTGCCTCACAATACCTGGCAATTCGTCATGGTAAGCCAAAATAAAGCTTTATACTAAGATATATCATTCATTATTATCATGCAGAATATCAGTTATAATAATAAACACGTTCAGTTGAGGATCTCACGCACTTCCAGTTTTGTGAACTAAATTAAATAACTTAAAGTCGATTAAATATATTTATAGAATTGAATTTTCTTCAATGTAAATTCCTAGCACTACGAAATACGACTCATTATATGTCGTGTAGCAAAAAGAGTGATCGAACACAACATTGTAGGGCCACCTGATGCAAATTGTGTGAAGGGGGATATGGACTACGTTCCCAAACAAAAAAAATTACGAGGGCACCAATATTCTTTTATCGTTCAAGGATTTTTGCAGGAATGAGCAAGAAATAGTTTACGGCTCTCCATATGCTTTCAATAACTGCCATGGATGTGTTTTAGGATCACGCTTGAGGAACAATGTTATCGCTGAATTTACAGAAAAAATGGATTTGTTTTGTGAACTTCGATGCGCAGAAAATCGTTTTTGTGTCGCATTTAGTTACAAGGAAAAAACGCTGGAAAATGAATTAAACTGTCAGCTTACCAACACAACTGAGCATAAATTCAACGAACGCCACGAAAAAAGGGAAGAACAAGTGTGGACGTTTCACGAAGCTAAAGTTGATCGGAGTCACTTTGTAAGAATTATTATCGATATCATTGCAACGTAGTTTTGTTGTTCAATCTCACGCCAAAAGAGGAATATTATTGTTAGCAACCAGTACTTTTCCACGTGAAGTTTAGGAAGAGAATACGTTTGTTTATCCCTACATTCACAATTGTTCTAAACTATTCACTTAAATATTGACTCACAATAATGCTTAATACAGCGTGCATTCGTATGAAACCATGTTCAAATCTCCTGAACGTTGGTACAGATCGGAAGATTTTTATGCGAGACAGATTTAAGATGTTGCATAAAACAAGTTGTAAACTAATTGTTTCCTTCATATTTGATTTTAAATGTCACTTATATGATGTTATCAATTATTTCTTAATCTGAAGGCCAACTGCAGGGGAGAAGTAAATAACTGTGATAATGGCGGAAAAATGACTTGGGAAACAGGAAGACAGTTTTCATGTCAGTGTTTGAAATGTTATGAAGGAGAACGCTGTGAAAACGGTAATATAATGACATTACGACAAAACTATGGTATATATTTTATATTCAAAGGCCACGATGATCGTTAAAATCCATATTCATCTGATGCTCAAGGGAGCAGCAAAGTCTAAAACAATATAAGCTTGACATTTTTAGGAAATTTTCTTTGTTCTGAGAAAAATAAGGATTTCGTATCGTATTAACTGTTTGGAATAAAATGCTTAACCTGACATAGAGTCAATCTGGGTTCTCCGCAGAAGCGTTTTAATAAAGTTAGAATGGATGATAAATTGTTTTAAATGTGAATTGATACTTCATATTTGCGGTCCCTAATATACAGATGATCTGTTTTATGCAATATGACCACTTCTCCAGGGGGCGTAACTAGAACGATAATTGGGGGGTGGGATGAATATTCATATATTCAGTTCTTCCCGATGGATGTCTATTGTAAGCTATTGCAATTATGAAAGAAAGCCGTAGCGCAGAACTGGATATATGAATTTTAACCCCCCCCCCAATTATCGTTCAAGTTATGCCACTGAAACTCTCGTCACCTTAGAACTGTCAGGAAGTGATTCCGCAATAACTACGAATATTTATCCTGCCTTTGGGCATTTATACCGCGTATAGGTTAGGAAAATAACATAAACTACTGACAAATGCAATGATTTATTTAATACAGTACGTACAGAGGCTCTTGGGATGGAAGATGGTGGTATCCTTGATAGTCAAATCACGGCATCCAGCAATTGGAATAATAATCATCGTGGGGCTAATGGAAGATTAAATTTCACGCCACATAGTGGAAGAACTGGAGCCTGGTCTGCGTTGTCCAATGATATTAATCAGTGGCTACAAGTTAATTTTCAACGTCTTGCACTCATCGCAGGAATCAGCACCCAAGGACGTTCTGATTATAATCAATTTGTCAGGAGTTACACCATCTCTTTTAGCAAAACTGGAGGATATTTCACGTATTATACCCAAAGGGAAGCAACCAAGGTATACTAAAAAACGTCATACAAACTATAAACTCTAATTATTCACCACTTATATCACGAGTTTTGATCTATATTATCTACCTTTGAGCAATTATGTGCCTCAGAGTTTTTGAGCAACGACAGGATTGGTAACATTGCCAACCTTTATGGAATCAACACGGCTAACTGTTAATGAAATCGTCGTATTTTTGTGCTATTAATGTTCGCATGCGGATAGTTCGCATTTTTGTTGCTTCTAGATTCCACGTTATGTTATGTATAGTAAAAAGCACAAACTCGTAATCTCCAACATAAACCGATACATTGTCCCTTTAATTCCCTATAATTTCATTCTGAGTGTCTTCTAAATTTCCCAGTGACGTCATTATTAATTTTTTACCGAGTTTTAAAAAATAACAAAGTCAACAGAGCTTTGCCTTTGGGAGTTCAAAACATGTGAACTCCCAGAGGCATAGCTTTGAAAAGTTTTAAACTACTCTAAAAATAATTAAAACGTCAGTGTGAATATAATTTCACACAACTAAGCCGGGTTTATTTTACTGGGACCCCCTGTATAGTTCGTTACGGTGTAATATATCTCATTGCTGCTCTACTAGTTGCTGACACTGCTCAATGAATCTTAGCAAATATGAAATTTTAGATCCATTTCAAAACGATACTAATATCAATGACTTTTAAACGGATTACTATATTAATGTTCGGAAGGCCTAATTGTAGAAAATTATATTTGTGTTTAACGAAGAATTTTCATATCATAAGAAAATATTATTACAAAATGTTGAAGCCAAGTATGGCAACGGACCAACGACATTATTCAAAAGCCAAAAAAGTATTCAAAATCTACCATTATTTTGAAAAGCAACTGACTGACTAAGAGGAACTTTTAAGTAATGAAGTTTTGTGCGTGAACCATTTTTATCAGTTTCGATATATTTATCATGCTACCGAAATATTTATCAGTTGCGAAAAACTTTAAATACTTACTTTTTCTTCAAAAATATATTTCCGGAGTAGTCCAAGATTTTTTGGACTACAGAGTAACAGTGATTACAAACTTGAATACATAGCTATTTGTTATTACGTCTAAAGTTTAAAATGATGTGCATGCAGCAACTTATTTTGTTTTCATAATTACAGGAGTTCCAGGGTAACAGCGACCAGAATACTATTGTCCATCGAAAGGTTATTCCTCCTATATCTGCTCGGTTCGTTCGCCTTCATCCGACCACGTGGCAAAATCATATCTCGATGAGAGTCGAATTTTATGGCTGTTTTTTGACGTAATTATGCATGATTCGTTTCTAATCGATCTAATTGTGAATTTATTGATTAAGTTGATTAGGAAATTTGAGCTCCCCATGCAAGTGCCTGAAATGTTGAAAATAGCTTGGATTTCTTCCTAATTTGAATATCTTGCTGAAAAATTTTTGAATAATTGAAGCTTAACAATTTCGTAATTTATATATTCATTTAAGCCCTTTAATATAAATTGCATAATTGCTTATACTTTCAGTTTCAATTTCACGCACTTTCAGAGCATGCGCACTAACTAAGGATTTGAATTGGAATAAGATAAATTTAACTCGGGCTTTGATGTGCTCAAGAGCATTTATGTTGTAAAAAAACACAGAACTATTTAAATCACTATTAACAAATAATGCAATAGTTAGAGTGTGAATGCCTAAGAACTCCGTATGTTGTATACCCACAAGTGTATAAATGTTTGACATAAACATTTTTTATGCATGATGACAGTAAAATTTGTTTGTGCCCATAAGGGACAGGTCATAAAGTAATTACTAGGGAGGAGTGGATGATAAATGAAATTTTAAGTATATATTTTAATACCCCCAAAAACCTATGGAAAAATTTTCATAACCCTCTCTAATGTAAGTGAAAATTTTCATACTCCCCTTCTTCCTTAATTTGGTTTTAACATTATATTGCATTTATCTATATTTCGAAACTCTCCAATTGGTGGTAACTCTCCCACTTCTTGTAGTGGTGAACATATCCTCAACATTTTCCTCACTCTCAGATTCGTCACCAGTGTTTTCTGTTTCTTGCTCGGACATTATTGCTTGCACTGTCATTTAAAACAATGTCCCCCCCCCCACTTTCATCAGCAGATGAACTATTGTCCCTATAACCGTCATCACTGTTTTCTTCCATCAATACGTCGTCTTCAGAGGCGTTTAAATGGCTCACAATATGTCCTTGAATGACCCTTACTTTCTCTGCCTTCCTCAGTTTCAAAGAATGCGTCATTCTATGATAAGTACTTATTTGGTTCGGAAACGTTCAACTTCTTGCACAGACCATCGTAAAACATGGCAATCCAGTTGTAGTCTTCATACTTTTTGTTTCTCTCTTGCTGTGTTTTTTATTGTCGTTTCTCAGCCCTCTTCTTTTTGTTGATCTCGAGATACTTCAGGTGGTCAACTAATTTTTTTTGACAAGCACTTCATCAACAATGACAGTTTTACTTAATTGTTTGATCTCTTGGTCAGAGCCTAATTTTCCTTCTGCTATGTAATCTTTTGCTTGTTTTCTGGGTTGAAAATCATCTATGGTTCTCTTTCTGTTGAAGTGTCAAAAACGTTTTTGAAATGATAACCGTCTGCTTTGTAATCCGGATATGGTTGAGAAATTCTGGCACAAGGAGGTCCAACCCAGGAATGAGTGGAGCAATATTCACACTTGTCAGGCTCATTACAAGAGAATTTGACAAATTTCATGAGTTGCTTCTCTCCAAGTAGGCAGTGATTTTCACCAAAACTTTTAATCTTGTCGAAATACCTAGTACTTTTTCCGTACCTAGTACTATAAAATTTTGGTACCCTCCTTGATATCCCGCTGTTTTTTTCGTATCCCTCTCAGAAGTGCTGTTATTTTTATGTACCCCTCCCCATAATATCCTCCACACCCCCTAATAAATACTTTATGACCGGTCCCTAAATGATTTTTATTACCAATGTTCACAATTTACAAATATGAATAACAATAAATTATTTAAGTTTACAACTCAAGCACCATGACCTTCGACATGTGATCGTATCAAATTTTAAACTTTCGTACGTAGCTATTTATAAGTTGTGCTGAATCGCTACGGGTTAAAATTCGTGAATAGGCTATTTCAATTTTAACAATAAGTGATTTCCATAGTTTTGGAGTTTTTTCGGACACCTGTAATACTGCTGTTATTTCATTACGCTCGGGAAGACGGGAACGATCGAAATTCCAATTGTACGAATTGGTGATACTATTCAAGAAACAAGACATGAAACGTATTTCCAAATCCCAGAGCCAGTTGTATAAAAGACCAGTTAACTTCACTATAGTCAAGGACAGAATAGGCCTTGTGTATTTCTGAGTTAAATAGGATTTAGCTATGCAAAATGTAGTTAAAGAGTTTTATACAACTAGCCCCAGAAGTACACGCATTGTAATTAGTTGCATTAGCAGTCCAAATACAGGGTGTCTCAAAAAAAACGCAACCACTTAATATTCTAAAATTCATATTGTTCATAAGCTCAATAGATTTTTTGCCCCTGGGATTTTAAAATGGCTTCTAATCGTAAAGTTCAACTGCTAATAGTCAAATCAGCTACCATTAATATTCATGAATATCCTCTTTGTTCTACAACACAAAAGACGTTTGGCCCCTGGAATGCGAGAAAGCTTGTAATCATATGCTAGCAGCACAAAGTCGGGTGCCTAAACCAACGAGCTGAAATGAAAGTATTTAACGAGTAAAATGTTATTTAAAATTTATTTTACAAGGTCGAACGTTAGCATTCAAGTTATCATGCACGACAATAAAAACTCGTTGTTCGGTTGTTAGCTGCACCATTAAGTGGTTGCGTTTTTTTTTATACACCCTGTAGAGATGCTATTTGCAATATCTACCTATGCAAATTATAGTGTTTGCACATGTTCTGATACACCATGCATGCATAGGCTCACGTACGCAAAATTTTATTCATATGAACAAGTGTTCCAATGGAGAAACGTCTTGTCGGGGCATTGCATGGGGGAAAAGTATTTTACAAGCGAATATAAATTATACTGTTTGAAAGTCTACGCAGTACCGTGCTCAGCAAAGTATTCGAATGTTTGATGCTTGACCAGGGCAATAATAAATTCAGTTAAAGTAAACAATATTATAGTGAGATGAAGATTACAAGTGTGCAGTTTTTTTGGGGGAAAAGGACCTTATTGCCCCCCTCCACCCTCTGTTTACTGTCTTGTGCTAACAAGACAAGTGCCAACAAGACCGTTTCTCTGAGTCTTACGGCTTTGATCAGGATTATCAGTTGTTGAAATCCTAAAGGCAGACTTGCTAATGATAAGTTCTTACAGCATCGAGCTTATGCCATGCCATGCAGGTGTTGATCGAGGAGGTAAGTTTTATGTAAAAAGATTCTTTGAAATAAGTCTTTTTGAAACAGAACAATCACATGCTGTAGTTAGTATGATTACACGCCTACTGAGAATCGTGCTTTTTATTTACTCAGTCAATACCGGGCTCATGTGAACAGCCCCTAAATTTAATGGTCTATAATTATTATCTACCTATAATTGTATAATAGTTAGAACTCTGTTAACGTTAAGTATTCTTTTCATTCTATATTTTACTCCACAGTAAGCCAATACTAATAGCAAGAATCTCGTTACCTGACTGCTTATTTAATTAGTTCAAAAACATCAGTCACAAATATCATTTAATTGCTGATAAATTTAGGTGTTCATTTACGAAATCTATCACATGGTCGCGAGCAGACGATCGTGCCTTGCTAAGAATAATATCCTTAATGGGCACAGCTGTCGTACCCTTTGGGCTTTGACGCAAAAAAGTGCAGGTCTGGTTTTGTGTAGTTTAAAATTTGCATTAGTTTTGACTCCATATACATACAGCACCTGTAATAGTTATTTGCCGAGGTAGCAATAGTATCATTCGAAATCCGAGGATGCGATGTCATATTCCTAACTGAAAATTTTGTTTTGGTCCCTCTTATTTGTTTTGTTACATTTATGTATGCCGCGCACGGTTAAAAACACGTTGGTCTTCCAGTTGCTTCAGGCCAAGGTTAAACGTCGCATCTTGGTCGCGTCGAATGCAATTCAAGCAATTGATCATTATATATTAAGGAGGTTTATTATCTCATCATCTTTTGTTTGAATTACATTCGATGAGAAAAAAGCGACCTATTTGAAACCAAATAGGGGGCTGTCAGCCAAATGTGCTGCCTCTGTTGGTGCGTCGAAAGACTATGGCCATGTTTTCTTGCAACTTGGAATGCGTTTCTACTTTTGAGAGATGTAAATTAGTGAGGAAGCTTCAAAATGTAAGTGTAAGAAAGGCCATGAATTGCATTAATTTGGATAGTTCAGCCAAATTTACATCTCTCAAAAGAAGAGTTGCATTGCAAGTCGCAAGAAAAATGGCACAAATTATGGCCTTAAGAGGAGATGATAACCTCAACCATGATTGTACATCCCATGCAACTTCGAATCCTTTTGTTGACTTTATTACCGAAATTAATGCCCATAATAACTGGAAAATAGTAGGGTGGTTTTCTACTGTCGCCTAACTGGAAAAGTAACCAAATTGGCGGAATAATGAAAAACAAAATTCCTGCTTGATATTTACTTTAGTTAAGAATATTCTTTCCAAGAAAAATGCTTCAGCAAAATTTACACTTAAATTATCAAACAGCTATAACGTTGCAGCTGCGCTTCATGTCGTCGAGAAACCGTAAAATTACATCATTTGAAGGCGTCGTAAGAATGACAACGCAGACAATAGAACCACAATTTATGCGTGCCTACTTTTCCGCGTTTGGACTTTTTTTGTTTCGCAAGCGCGTCTTCGAGCTGGCCGCGTCTTGAATCGTAAACTCTTTATTAATAATGACCTTGGGTTTCTGTAATTATATATTATTAAAAATGCCAAGAAAAAGCTCAGTAAAGCTTAAAAAAAAAGCTAAACACAATAGACTGAGTGACAGCGAAAAGTTGAAGATTCATCATCTGTTTAGTCTTCAGGAAATTCAGGAAATCAGGAAATTGTATTTCATTTACTCCTTCTCTCGCTGTTGCATGTTTGAAGGAACATCAACATACGTGTATATTTATTCTGTAAACACAGGAGGAATTCAACCGCATTTGAAAAATGAAGAAACGTTTTATTATTCGGATGTTTCTAAAATCTTCCATGTTTTTGCAGCTGCAATTTGTATTTCTCACTGCTTCACAATATCTGGCAATTCGTCATGGTAAGT